TTTGATGTAATGAATTGATGAGAAAAGCGAGGTCTGGTTTGTAACATCGCGAGGCAGGAAATGTTTGCAAACGTTGATGTTTTGGGGTATAATTGTTCATTGTATGAACTATGAGGAATGATCAGAAATAGACGTTAGAGTATTAACATCATGACTCATTTAATTAGGGAAATTATGTCGAAAATAAATTTTACCGTAATGAAGTGAACCTAAAATAGGGCTTTCGATATAACCATGGTTATGATTGACGTGTATGGAAACAGTGCCATCCGAATTCGCCCTTACAAGTAACTGCCCTGTCTCGTTTCGCACAAACAGACCGTGTGTTTAATACTCCAGCATTTTCTTTACGACTTCTACTAATGTCTTTTTCCTGCCTTTCGATTTTCCGACCGAAGATAAATACCTACGTCTCGCGAGTGATGAATTGATATTGAGAACAAAGTTATTTCAGGGATGCTAAATTGACTTTGGTGTTTACTATGCTTGCGTTCGTAATGTTTTATGGCGTTCACTGAATTGCACCTAGTGTCATATCTTTTATTAGATGTGCTTTGAAATATGTTTGTTTTGTAAAGCTATAAATTTTGAGGTGCGAACGATAATAGTACAAAAAGAAGGTCTAGTCTTTTACAAGCGTTTGTGTGGCTAATAGATTGGGATGTTTGTTCATTTCATTTTCCTTGTGTTGTTTTTCTCTTCAACTAGACGTAGTTCGTGCCGTAACTGAAATTGCGTCTATCGGCTATGTTAATTTTTATGACGTCACAGCTTATTCACCGCGTATGCCTGCACGTAACCGCAACGCATTAGCGGCTCTTAACGAAGCGGAAATGTGCGACCAGATCGGGTTTTATTTCAACCAGTTACATTGACTATGTGAGAGACGTTTTGTTGCTAGTCTGTTTTTGTATTGATTAGACGGAATTTATAATGAGTTGTATCATTATTATCGTCATATAAGGCATAAGTGGCGACTAACTCTAATTTTATGTGGCTTACACGCCACTTGGCTGACGTTCACGAAGCTGCAACTTTGATTTGATGTTAAAATTGAGAAGTTAAAGGGGATGGTTCTGCCATTACAGTTCAAGTCAGGAAACAAATATTGTCTTTCAAACTTTATTTATAAGGGAATTATTTAAATGTAAGGTAAAGAATGTCAGTATAGTAATAGTACACCTCCCTTCATCGTAGGCGATCTTAATTATGCATGCAGTCAGGTCTTAGAATAGATTACCCGGAACTGCCAGGGTTGGCTTGTCACTCCGTTGGTTACGAGGGTGGCATATCATGGGATAAAATTGTCTTAGTATAGGAACAGGTACTTATTCAAGGACATTGTCTAATAATAGAAAAGTTTCTTGTGTAAAAATTTTCTAGTCATAGCAAGATTCCTAAAAATGGGAGTGTTCAGAATGTCATAAAAAGGCCTTGTGGAGTTTGTGAGGATGCGTCTGATAGGGGAAAGTTGAAAAGACATTTGTTCCGACTCCCAAGGTAATTGACTAGTAGAGGTAAGCCGGTTTGTATGACCTGTCCACTCCTTATAAAGAACTTAGTAGGTTATTTGAATTATACTTAATAAGCTCCTAAGTCAGCGCAAACGCGATAAGATCAGATATGGTTTCCATAAAAGCCTTACGAGCTGAAAGATAATTCCATACCCTGTTTCAGAATGTTATCCGAGATCGTTCCACTGCTTGCGAACCAAAAACAATCACAATTATGTATAACGCCATTTACTGTGGGGTGCTGATAAGCCATCGTTTTGCTGTTTTCTCCATTTAGTAATACAATTACCATATAAACGGTTGTCCCTATTGTTTTCATAGCAATGGTTTTCAACCTTACCTCAGTTAATTTTAGCGTGCGGTAATAGTGTGAACGCATCTTATTATGAAATTGCTAGGGCTGTGATGGTACGGAATTCGGGTGGATTCCTAATAGTCCCTGACCCTTTACCAATATGAATCTATACAAATTCCGAAGTCGGCTCCTAAAATTAATTCAGAACTCATCTCGATTTCCTATTTCTGCTAACTTCTTTGTGGTTGTTATTGAATTTCAACAGAGAAATTACACTGCAATTGCATTAACTATCTACTTGATAGTTACATCTGAAATTGATCTTCAATAGATTACATTTTTACCGACATGATGACATCATCGCGTTTTTATTTTTATGATATGAATTCGTTTTAAACTGTAACAAAATGTGTGCGGTAACCCTAAAACCGTACGTAACGTAAACACACTGAACGGGAACACTTATAACAATAACACGCGCAACTAATTTTAGACACTTACTGAATAGTTACAAAACTCTTACTTGATTTATGAACTGTAAAAATATAAAGAAAGTTTCGAAGCACACTTGAAATTTCCTTTTCTGAAACGTGTTTTAATTACTTAGAAGAAAGGTCTAATTTCCTTTAAAGCTACCCCCTTCTAAAATGGTTTTCGTGTCTCTGAACTTTGTCTTTCAATGTTGGCGAAACCAATCTAGTTTTAGTCTAGTAACTTCGCCAAGACTTAGATTACAGTGTCAACTAGTTTCCCAATATGCCTATAAGTAGCTGTATACGGTTCCGAACACAACCATAAATAAGACTCATTTTAAATTCACAACTTTGCATTTACGTAATTACCAAACAATTATTTAACTTTGCCCAAAGAGTCATGCAAACTTCTAAACCGATCCACGTCATCAAACGCCATGCAAAAGTCTGGCACACAACTTGGAACCCTTCCGTTTGCCTGAGGACGTTTAGAAATTGTTTTACTGTAACATCACGGTATAAAACCAAGTAACCAACAGTTTTCGTCTGTTCACAACAGAGGGGCAAAGTTGATTGAGGTAGATATTACTTTTAGAATATATTTTTCGGGACTATTTCCTATGCAGACGGTTAATTTTGTGATTACCAGATTTATAGACAGAATTTGGCTCCTCATATGCTTTAATTACTTGCCATTTCATGAAACTTCGAAAAAATATCTTTCAAACATTTAACTTTCATATATTTTTCACGAACTGAACATGCGCCACCAAATATATTTAAACTCTATCTTCTTCGTTCTTTTCTAACAAAACACCTCTAAATATCCTCGCCTCATCCAATTTTCCGTGAAAACTCTTAAACTACACACATCATCAAAAGAATACATGGTACCAATGTCTCGGTGGCTCGTCTAACGTGCGTTGTGCAATTCTGACGCAACGCAGGACAATCGCCACTGAACAATGGACCAAGATAATAACACTGTTTAGATACATAAGCTTAGACTTAGTCCTTCATATTATAATAGACCATTTTACTTATTACGCTAATTTCTTAGACCTACTTTTTGCTTTTGTAGTAGTTACGATAGTTCTAGCATTCTTCCATGACGACGTGATGTGGTAATGCCATCTTAGGATTTATAAGTCTCAAGGTTTCAGCAAGCTTAGTTTCGAGTTCCGTATTGTTTAGAAAGAGCTGCTACATACCAGTTATTCTGTCTCGATAAAAATGTTATTAATCGTCTTTAAGTTTTGTAAATTACGGTACAAATAAACTGCCTACCTCTTTAACTCTATGTTTGTATTTTAACAGCCTCTAAGCGAGAACAATGTTCGTAGTACAAACAGCTTTCCGCACAAGAGTTAAGGTTCAGCAAGGTCTCTATTCAACCGCAATAAGAATGTTATTCCTATTTAAAATATTCTACAAACGTTAGGTTTATCTCAGAACACGTAACTCCATTTGTTCGATTCCCGCGTGCCAAGAAACTCCAATTCTAAGTAATAAACTATTGACCAAGGAAAACTCGTAGTTTGGAAACGTATTGACAAGGGAATATTACGGTTTTCCTCAAGAAAATAGCTTTTTAAATAAAGCTTTCAACAAGACTATTGATTCCGACGAAAAATAGTAATGTAGTTAGGTAGGACTGGCATTATTGCGAGTGTTACAATAAGTGTTTGTGCGAAAACTGATGGCAAGGCAAACATAATCAATACGTATTAATTACACGCACACCCCTCTTCCACACAGCTCTGTACGCCCGCACCTTTGATGTAATATTACGATATGCGAATAATCCGCTAGCGAAATCCTGAAAGCGCATTCATTTTGTAGCTGAAATAAGCAGGTGGTTCGCAGTACTGAGATCGATTGTGAGTCTGCTAGGAAAATATTCCCAATAATTAGGACCCGCGCAGGAAGATAGCCTCCCTTCGCCGTGCATCCACGCATGCGTATAACCGACCGGCTTCTGTCAAAGCCGCGCTTGCGTAGTGAGCCTCCCGCGACCGGCCTGGTTGCTGTGTGCATTGTTTGACGAACTGCATGTTTTACGAGCCTCGAGATCCTTGACCCCAGGATCCCGGGAATTAGACCCTAGATTCTAGATCAATCATAGTTCCCTTCTGCAGAGAATAGAAGGCTTTCTTTTCCATGTCGCGGTGAGTCCTTAGCGCCTTTGATTTGTAAAATGTTTATTTTTTTTCTTGTGTTACAAATGTATTGGCTTTATGTGTCTGCTTCATATTCGTTATCGAATGATTCATGGTCAGCCATTTTTGCACGGTGTAAGTTATGTTAATAGAGCTTGAAAGGTGGCTTGTCTCTTATCGCATACGTATTTACGTAGATATTATTGAGGATTGGACGTATTGTAGGCGATTGATGTAGGTTGTTACTATCTAATTTTGGATCATTTCTTTAAAAATGAACTTGGCCTGCTGAATAGATTGCTGCGTTTTGATTTGATTAAGTATGGGCTTTCGGTCTTGAGGTCTTTTCTAGTTACGGGACATATTTGTAAGAAGCATTAGGTATTATATTTAAAAGGAGACCACAATAACAACTATGTTATCCAGGATAATATACAGACAATTTAAACCTTATCAGTACTTACATAAGGTTGAATTAGCGTTCAAATAAAACTCATTATGACAAATAAAATGTTATAAATGAATCCATTTTAATAATGCTGTATGTGTTTTGTTGCAGAGGTCGTTGCGTTGCGTGATATAAGACGCGGCGCGCGGTTGTCGAGCGGTCGGTACGTTTGAGAGGACAGGCTACACCTCGCCATGTCCACCATGAGTGAATTAGACAACCTCCGTCAAGAAGCGGAGACGCTAAAGAATGCGATCAGAGTGAGTATTTTGCTGTCCATCATCATCAGTTTATCAAGGTCTATTGCTGGACGAAGACCTCTTTCATAGCGGCCCATAACACCCTCTTTTTGAGGGTAGAAAATTATCAAATCACTCTTTCCGCCCTGGGCGGGGCAGGAGGGAGTGCCGTAGTCTTAAACTGTCAAACACCAAGCGGTCACCGGTGACCGCAACCTATTGTTCTATAATTGTGTCTACAAAACCGGTACTCGACGAGTTAATCACTAAAAACCACTATATTTCAATCTACCCTCGACTCTGGGCTTATAGGACCCCCTACCTACCACAAGATCAAACTGGCTGCTAGGTTCTTTGATTAATTAGGCACAAACTACAAAGTCAGCAGCTCAACCTGTTGCCAATGTGAACAGTGAAGTTTACCTGTTGATTGATTACCCGGGTGTGGCATGCATTAAGTGAAAGAAATTTTAATTTAGTATAACAACATCCATCTAAGCATGCAAAAAGGGCTATTGAAAATGCATCTTTGGAATATTTATTGAACAAATGAACAATCATTACCTTATCATGAGATTGTTTGTTACGTACCATTCGTTTGATGCATTTATTTAATGCTACGAAGCTTTAGTTGCTAGTAACAATTTTGGTATATTTCCATATCAGTGCCATTAATATCCACCTAAATCTTCAGGATGCAAGGAAGGCGGCCTGCGATACGTCGCTGGCGCAGGCGACGGCGAACCTCGAGCCCATTGGGCGCATACAGATGCGCACGCGACGCACACTGCGCGGACATCTCGCCAAGATCTATGCGATGCATTGGGGCAGTGACTCCAGGTAATATTTTGACATTCCACTCAAAATTATGTACCTAGTACAAAACACTATATATAATAGTGTTTCCCAGTGTGCTTTCTACACTGCTTCTCCATGACCCCTTAACACTTTTTCAACTCCATAAGGTAAAATAAAATTATTGTATAAGTCAGATATGCATTTTTAAGTCAGGAGTCCACATCGGTCTTGTTCAAGTCACAGTACTCAATTCTGTTGGTCTAACAGCTGGATAATTTGACATTTTTCTAGAATAGGGAGATTGAGATACATATTATGAAACAGACTCTAAATCTAAACCAATCAGCCATTTTGGACAAATGGTATAAATACCCATAATTATCTGGTGAACCAGGTCAAACCAGAAACGGAGTATCTCAATAAATAAAGTCTGGATCAAAACAAATGCTGTTTCGTTTTTCCAGTCTGACATAATGAAAGTTGAAATCTGGATTATATGTTTTAGTTTTATATTGACTACAAGAAACCCAAGATTTTCTTATGGTTGTGTTCAAATTTATGTAGTCATATGCATCTGTAGATTAAAAAGGATAACTGGCTCATGGTTAAGTTCCTCATTTCTACAAAACTAGATATTCTTTATAAACCATTGTATAATAACAAACTATGAATCCTGGAAAGTACTTTATAATTCATTCTCTTACTCTTTTCCTCTGATTTCTTACGAATCCATTCTAAATATCGACTCTTACTAAGAAATGTAAGCAGTTCTATAATAAATCACATATTTGGACATCTGTGACGCTCGCACGGCGCGGCCAACAATAATAAAATGCTAAATTTAAAAGCATATTATTTATTTTGTCTCGATACTAATCTATTTCTTATAAATATTATTAAGTCCCTGGATTGTAAATTATATAGATTGTGCATTTTGCGTTTATTTTTAAGTTGCGATATTGGTCCAATTTTTATGGATTTTTTTGTTCCAAACTCCTTGTTAACGTATGATAGGATTCTTTAGAACTGTCCTAATGTGGTAGGCACAGGAGTACTTATAAATGTAATACTTTGTAAGTAAATTAAGTTTTCGTCTGTGATTATTAAAATACCTGTATCATAATAAGAAGGGCCTTCTTATCTGGACGAATTCCACAGGTTGGAGTTACTTGGCCCTAAGATTTCATGACAGACTGACAAAATATCTGTATATCACTTCAGGGCACTTCCTAACACCACTACAGCAGATATACTGTATTGTATCATTTGTATTTCAAAACTGATTCAATATAATTTAAGTTTCCTCCATCATCACATCCTTATAAGTATTACTTTGTGACATTTCCTTCTGGTTACCATTTAAATTGACGACACAAAATCGTTACCAGTCGTTACAATCACAGCTAAACAATAAAACAGAACAGACAATAAAATTAATATATTACGCGTACATTACTCACTTTTCCCGATAATACACAATAAACTCGTCATTTTTTCTACCTTATTCACATTAGAATAAGGTTCAAAACTGGTTCGATTTTGGAAACAATAATTGAGTCATTGGTACATTAGTGTAGATATCTCATTTGAAGGAATGACGTCAATTGTAACGTAGAAGATCTTTAGAAGAAATCATTAATCTTTAATTGTTGTGGTATACGATAATCTCTTTTATTATTATGATGGTTCTATTGGTCTAATGGTCCTATTGCCAAGCACGAACTGTTTGGTGATTTCTGTACCTTGATGAATTGGTTCTTTATTTGAAAATGGCCAATAGTTGCAAACGATACTTTTGTTATGCTGCTTTTTACAGGCAAAGCTATTTTGCTAGTAATATGTATGTCAATCTTCGGCAGTGCAATACTTCAATCAATATAAGACCACCTGATGGTAAATAATCACTTAAGCCTAAGTACAAGTGGCGGCAACATAATTAATTCGTTGAAATTATACATTCTCATTAGTTATCTTGAATCACGTTGTTTTGTTTTCTTTATAATTTATATCATAACAACCAGTGACGACGTACTTACCTGATGCATACTCGTATCATCAATGTTTACTTGATGACACATAAAGAAAAAGGTTTGTGAACTGAAAGAAGTCCTTGCTAGTCTTTGTTGGTGAATTGTGTACTACATTTGAAATGATATCCAATCCGCCTGCACTGCGCGAAGATAATGGCAAACTCATCTTAACTGATCAATCCCCAAGTGGTCACCGGTAACCACTCTCCACTATCTCCTTTATAGACCTTATTTCTGTTGATTAGACACTACTTTTGTACGAAAAAATTTTGGGCATTTATATCAGATGATTGTTATACTAGTTAAGTAGAGTAAGTCATGATGTATAAGTCTGCCAAGAGCTTATTATAAAAATTTTAATATTTTGAATGTTTTGTTTATCAGGAACTTGGTGTCTGCGAGTCAGGACGGCAAACTGATAGTGTGGGACAGCCACACAACCAACAAGGTGCATGCGATACCGCTGCGCTCCAGCTGGGTGATGACCTGCGCGTACGCACCCTCCGGCTCTTACGTCGCCTGCGGTGGATTAGACAACATATGCTCCATTTACAGGTCAGTATTTTCAATGAGAATTAAAATAAAAACTGTGTTGTGCTACGGTATAAATCTGTATCACCTGAAGAGAACTGCCTTTTTTAAAATGGGGTAAAACGTTTAAAAGGCGTCTAGCTTTTTTGGGGATAAAAATCTAGACTGTGGGATTCTTATCTCACTAAACCACCACCATCATCACTTATGGGGGTGGAGAGTCTACTACTGAGTTTAAATCACGAGTACATTGGTGGTATATTTACAAACTTCATGCTGCAGCATTTCTTACCACCAGGCATTATAGGGGTAGTAATATCCAGGATACCAGTACCAGGGATAGTAGTCAAACGCTATCCTATAAAATTAAAAAGGAGTTGTAGTATGATGATGTCTGATAGAGTACAATGAAAGAAGACATGGAACTGACACCAAGTAATAATAAGAATTATAAGAAGAGATAGTTAGATAACTAAGTGATTAAAATTATCTTGTTTATTAATGAAGCTTGACATGGACAAATTGAATGGCAAAGAAAATAATTATGAATTGTATTTTTATTACACACTGTTGTTGCAATAAAATGAATTCGTATACATCAGTTGTCACTCAATAACAGGAAATGGCTAAACAACAAAGTAATGAAATATGTATAAAGTGTTTGACCCCAGAAATATTAACGTAAAATATGTGCATGGCCCAGATTCAAACAATAAGCTTACTATGTCGACCTCGGTCTGCTGATCTAGTGATAGCGGATTTACATCCTGACACACAATATTGCACAAAACTGTGGAAATTGTTTTTCTCACTTTATTCTGACATGTTAAAATTGGAATTTCATATGAATAACTTTTTAAATCTGTTTGTTGTTGATTTGCTAAAGCAATATTTTGTAATGTGCTATTCCATTGCTAGACAATCTCGCCCGTGAAGTGAGTGTGATAACCAGGTTACAGCTGCTTGGTTCGATTACCAGGTCGCATAAACTGATACTACTTAGTGTTTAAGAGTAAATATGTGTATATCTTTCTCTATTAATTGATGTATTGTAATATTTCAGTTTGAAGACCCGCGAGGGTAACGTGCGCGTGTCACGCGAGCTGCCCGGCCACTCGGGCTATCTCTCTTGCTGCCGGTTCCTCGACGACAACCAGATCCTCACCAGCTCTGGCGATATGACTTGGTAAGTTGACTACAGTAAACTGATGATCCTTAGAATTTTCACTTAGGTCATATGTGTATCTTGATTTTAATTCATTTTAGATGTTAATTGATAATTTACGAGAAGCTTATCAGAGAGCAAATGATGACTAACATACAGAAAGATAGACAATACAAGTTAAATGAAAAACAACTAGTCTTATAAGATGTTGCTTGAAATGCGAACCTCATGCAAGCATCAACTCTAATACAATATTGTTTTTTGTTGAACATTATTAATGAAGCATGTTGATATGTTCGCAGCGCCCTGTGGGATATCGAGACAGGCCAGCAGTGCGGCCAGTTCACCGGCCACACGGGCGACGTGATGTCGCTGTCGCTGGCGCCCGACCAGCGCACCTTCGTGTCCGGCGCCTGCGACGCCTCCGCCAAGCTCTGGGACATCCGCGAGTGTCAGTGCAAGCAGACCTTCCCCGGACACGAGAGCGATATCAACGCCGTCACGGTACGTACACTTGTGCTCTTAGGAAATAGTAAATAGATAATCTACAAATAGATTATTGGTAGACTTTTAGGGTCCTTGCTCTATATCACATTGAGGCTGATCAATCAGCTTAATCTATATATATAAAAGAAAGTCGTGTTAGTTACACCACTTATAACTCAAGAACGGCAGAATAGATTTGGCTGAAAATTGGTAGGGAGGTAGCTTAGAGCCAGGAGACCGACATAGGATACTTTTTGACCAATCTTTTTTTTTTACTTTTTACCGAAAATCACGAACGGGGACGGGAAAAAATAGGATTACGCGTACGAAGTCGCGGGCAGAAGCTAGTTTTAAAATAAATCAGCATTACGATCGATTGGAGGAAATAAAACATAAAGCCATATTGAATTAAAGTTCAGCTTGCAAGATAGAATAACATTTGTACTAACGGTAGATGAAACGTAATAAAGACTTGTAATAAGCATTACAATATACTTACATAAATCCCAGATTTGGCGTATTTCTATGTTTAAAGTCGAAGACAATCATTATACTTAATTCCTAATTATATAATAATATTTGTAATTTGTAGTGTCGTGGTGGCCCGGAGGTTTAAGACGCCCGCTTCTCATGCATGAGAGTGCGGGTTCGAACCTACCAACGGCAAGTACCAATGTGACTTTTTCCGAGTTATATGTACTTTCTAAGATTATTTAGACACCACTGACAAACGGTGAAGGAAAACATCGTGAGGAAACCTGGGCTTATAATTTCTAATTATAAGTTTGAAATCGCCAACCCGCATTAAGCAAGCGTGGTGATTAATGCTCAAACCTTCTCCGTGTAAGAAGAGGCTTTGCTCAGCATTGGGCATTTATAGGCTGATGATGATGATGATGATTTGTAATTTCCAGTTCTTCCCATCCGGGTTTGCGTTCGCGACCGGTTCAGACGACGCGACGTGCCGCATGTTCGACATCCGCGCGGACCAGGAGCTCGCCATGTACTCGCACGACAACATCATCTGCGGCATCACCTCCGTCGCATTCAGCAAGTCGGGCCGACTGCTACTGGCCGGCTACGACGACTTCAACTGCAACGTCTGGGACTCCATGAAGAGCGAGCGCGCCGGTGAGTATCTTTATGTAATAGGTATAAAATAATAACAGATCACTTTATACCCTAATGCAAAGTGACAAACGCCATCCATGGGCCATATGGGGCAAATGAACAGGCAGATCATCTGATAAAAGGCGATTAGCAATACCCATGGACAATAGGTGGTAAACAAGCAGAGATATGACTAAGTATGTTTCTGGGGTTTTAGTATTGAGTGCACTCTTTTTTAAAGGATCAAATGTTTTGTTGTAGCTCATTTTATCTTCAGGCAAGTGTCGTCAAATTAAAATATTTGTATAACAGGAAAAACAATCAATGAAATGTATCTATGATACATGAAAAGGAATTTGTCCTAAATAGATACACAGAATGTATGTATATAATGGCTGAAATACACAATAAATACTGTGTCTCTCGTTTGTGTAGTAATAATAACAACATACATAATAAATATAATGTGACATCATTAAATGAGATAATAGGATGTAATGTTGTATTGTAACTGTTATGTAAGTTCGCAATTTGTATTTGGTCTCTTTCAAGAATGTTCCACAGTGTCATCAATGCTTATAGTTGTCAATTACTCTACTCTGACTAAAATATATTTGTTTCTATCTGCAGGTATCCTGGCTGGACATGACAACCGCGTGTCCTGCCTGGGTGTGACCGAGAACGGCATGGCCGTCGCCACCGGATCCTGGGACTCGTTCCTCCGCATCTGGAACTAAGCCCCCCTCCTCCTTCCCCCCGCACCCCTCCCGCACCCCACCCTCTGCACCGCACCCCCTGCCGTCAACTTGTAACTACGTGTGATTACAAACTGCCTCACTAGCTGGGTAGAGAACTCATCAAGAGTACTTCTAGAGCCTAGAGCATCTCTCTTCCAAGTCCTCGTTGGTCCTCGTCTCTCTACCCAGCCTAGCCGAGCCCAGTTTACATGTGCGGATGGAACTTGAATGATAAGTTGATGGCTAGCCCCAGTTGAACCGGTGACGTCAGTTTCTAGTTTTATATTCGATATCAAGCGGTGTGTGAATGTGTTAGCTTCTAATTTTGATATCTTACTGACGATAGTCCATGTATTTCCTTATTCGGTTCGACTATCGCAGCCATTGGGATAGCTCAATGTGTAACGAAATTCGACTTTGACAGACCTGAGTATCGTCGGTCTTTATATTCTAAAGGGGCGGCTGTTTACCTAAACCTGTATAAAGTCCAGTCATCTTATAGTTCATTGTCATTACGTAAATATTTCTGATTTGAGGCACAAATGACTTGGTGTATATAACGTCGTACTGTGTTACTGAAACATGTCGGCTAGGAATTATTCTGTATATCGGATGCGCACAACGAGCACAGACATACGACACGAGTCGCCGCGTCAGCACGGGACGCTCCCGTATATAAAACTCGCTTTATTTATTTATAATTATAATTTCTAACAATATTAAAAGCATTTAAACAACTTTTTAGGGAGGAATGTAGTTTACATGTATGTGTGAGTGCGCTGTCAGTGTGCGTGTGTGAGCGTCATTACTGATCCATTGTTCACTGCATAAAGTATATTATTATGTATAATTATAATTATGTAATGGTATAATTAACGATAGACGCTGGTGACCTTTCCGCGGAGGGGTTCAAGGCTGCCGGAATCATTTTCTGTTTCTTGGTAAGTAGATTCGATGTTAAAACTAGTATTCTATATCTTTGCAATAAAAAGAAAATTACTTAACTCCTAGCGAGTATACGACAGACAGCTTGTGTGTAACTTTGTCAGTATTCAGTAATATCTATACGTTAATGCAAATAAGTTACCAATTTGAACTGCCGATATCTCAAAGGCCAACTTTGTTGTCAAGTTTCATAGCACTGTCATTTGTAAAATGAATGTTTGTCAATCCGGCAGTCAGTAGTCGGTGTGAAAGTACTTTCTTCTATTCTTTTATACTTATTCCTGTTAATTTAGCGACAATTCTATTATCAACTGAATATTTCTATTCTTTCCAATGATGTTTTATCGCTAAAGTAATAAGAATAAGACCAAAAGAGCCATAAGTTATGTTTTAAATATTATTATTATTGTAAATTAGTAAATGTTAGTTTGGCACGTTTAATGTATGACGTTACTCTTTGGGTTTCAGGTGACAACATCGCACAACAGAATATTATACAATCTATAAAAAAACTATAATTAAAGAACCAAATATTAATTATAAATGTATCTATGCATAACTTATTGAATGAGAACATTGTTTTCGTTTCTCGTCACTTCGATGTAATCCTAACGTGGTTGAGCTACTATATATTTAATATATGTTTTAGATTAGTCAACACACCGGTTTGTTATAAGTATGAGATTGTACCGATCTCCATTGACGAATAAAAATCATTTTTTTGTACCTAAATAAGGACGCTGACACACGAATTTATTAATTTGTCGCGAAATCTGCGCATACGCACATGATTCACCGATACTGCGCTGGTACTGTACTCCACCACAGCCACATTAGTTCCTGTGTCAGTGTCCTTACATTGACGTTCACGAATAATTGTAAAATGAGATCTAAATCTTAATCTAGGCTTTAAGCGTACAATTACAATGATTTATACTTTGACATGCAATATAATTTATCTATATCCAATATAATTTCGTATCATTATCCCTTATTAGCACAGGTATAGGGTGCATTTTGGAATGACTTGAACCCGTTTTACGTAGCTTTGTGTCGTGAATTGTGGCCGGTACGACTTAACAAAATATCGTGTTTAAACGAATTTGTCTCATTCCAATTTGTGTCCTTGTTTTCACCAAATGACATGAACTGACTTCTTTCAGCCACTGAACTAAGTCATTGCTAAGATTCCATACAAAAGCATACTAATGCGTGTAACACCGCGAAATAAATGCATTTTTTCTCTCTCCATTCCTTATTGGGCGTAGTGGTTTTCTTATGTAAAAATTGTTTTTAAAACTTAACGTGAAACAGTTCTGCAGTGATGAACGAACACTGAGACAGGCTGTTTATCGATTACCGTCATTAAATAATTAATATTAAAATGGATATTCGCGAACCTATGATAAAATCATCAGTTTATTTGCGCGAGACTAACATTTTAACACTGGGGTCGTTTAGAAAATAATCGTGATTGTAATAGATACTAATATTAAAAAAATACATACGAAACAGCAGTGTAATTCTAGTCGAAAGATGTATTACGGTCGGGAAAGTTTAACTTGGAAGATTGTCTAAAGTTGTGTGATGTTTTTGATCTTTTAAAAAGTAAGATATATTTGCCAAGACGGCGTATTTATTATTATTGTTGGTTCTCGCGTAAACAAGCAAGTAATTCACATTGTCGTACGCACTATTTTATATGTTTATACCGCTTTCACTATGATTAAATGTTAAAACGTATTTGGTATGCATTTTATTTAATATGGTTGTTAGGAATATAAGGCATAAAACTTATTAAACAGGCTCATGATTATCAGTTTTAAAATTATATTCCAACTTACAGTGATGAATAAAATGTATAGTAAATATGCTTTAACAGTTCATAATAGTATTTAGTCCATCTTCAATTTTGAAACATTTAAACCTTGAAATATTTTCAATCATAGTTTGTTAATTTTAAACTAAGCATAAACGGTAGCGTTTTTAATGTCATGTAAGGGTTACCATGTTTAAAGATTATCTCGTATTCACACGCAGACATAAAATGTTATCCCTTAACAGTTCATTATGGTGGGCGAAGCAACATCACCATCGCCCATTAAGTTCATTTTACTAGACTAAGCTAGCTTTAGGTACGTAAGAATTAATATACATGAATAAAAAATAGGCATTTGTATTTCGAACATTCTGTGTTGCTAACTGCAAAAAATCGATGCCAATATTTTTCTTAGTAACACTTAGTTTATATTCGTTGCAGTATTTGTTGGGATTTTAAGCACAAAATATTTTATAATTATTGTTTGTCGGCTTTTTTAATTATACAATCGATGGATGGTTGTCGCGCTATTGTTTTTTTTTTTTTGTTTAAATTAAGCCTTTTTGTCTTAGATAGGTTATAATATAGATGTTTGTATTAGGCAGACGAAGTCGGAAAAGAGCGACATTCAGGGCTAATGTATTTTTTTTAAGAAATCAAAATATAATCAATTTCATTTCTATAGTTTGTCGTGCTCAATTATCATAATATTTATATTGCACAAAGGCGGCGCAAAACTGTAAACAATTGAATATTTTTTACAATATGAACTCAAAGACAAACAGGTGAATGTAATTAATAAAAAATGGCATATCAAACAATTTGTCCGCCATTTTGTATCGCAGAATAATCATCGAGGTATAATGTTATTGTGTGTGAATTATTATGTTGATTAAACACGTTTTGAGAATATCTATGTTCACGCATGCATCTATTTGTCTATACGTAAGGTAATTTTGCATTATGGGAATTATTTGTCCAACGAACAAATATGGCCGCGAACGTTTGGCGGGAACTCAGACGAGGCAAAGGCAACGATTGTATACAGCCACACAGCTGCCGTTGGACAAATAAGTAGGATGTATTCTGAAGTTAGCTCCGGTCTGCTAGTTTTACGCCTAGGATAAGACTCTTTTTTAAATAATAATAAAAAATTGTTTTCTACTGTAACGGCTTCTTTTCAGATCAATGTACGATAACTATAATATAGCATTATATGATATGTATGATATTTAATGGATAGTTTTGATGGCTCATATTCTGTTTTTTGTCTATTCAGACCAATTTTTCTCACTTTTACATCATATTATTGGAATGGACTGCCATATTTTAACCTGTAAACTATAAATATACTTAAACGAGGGAGACAGATGGAATGGTTATCAGGGATTGTGATGCCTAACACACCACGTGTTACCGCCGAGTAGCCCGAGATCCTCGAATTTGTTTAAAGAGCCGGAGTGTCCCTGGAATTGTATATCATATTCCTTTGGAACTTAAAGGATTCGTATACCTTAGTTAACTTTTATTTGCTAGTCCGCGTCTTTAATATGTTTAATGAAAATAATTATTCTTAGTGGTATAATACTAATTATAATGTATTGTGTAAAATATTTTTTTTAGTTATTATATCAATAAATTAAAATTTGTTTATTTTAATTGCCTCTTTTATTTGACTGTTTCATTTCTTGTTTGAATATAATTAGCCCTCCGACTTCTAAATGCGTAATACAACATAACAGTGTATTTAAACCTTGTACGCAAACATGAATTTGAGGAAACTAGTCAATCATTGTTTTAAACTTTTAAACACATGTTGAAGACTGCACTGTAAGTCTCAAACGATCTGTACTACTAAGGAAGATTTCAGTTCTATCCACGACGAATTAGAGTCCAGGAATTACATAGGTAAGCGTTCTTCATCGTCGGCCACACCGTCACTTACCACCAGGCGAGATGATGGTCAAACGTCAACCTTTTTTGTTTTTTTTTTTTTGAGGGGGTAAATCATCCAATGACTTCTCCCGCCCGGGTGAGGCGAGAGGGAGTGTCAGACTCTTACTGACTAAAACCACCCTGTTCCTACTCCTGCACTTCGAGCCGGAGCCCTGGCAACCCGTTAAGTCTTCCGCGGCTCCGTAGTCAAATGTCAACCTATGAAGTATAAAAAACAAATACTAACTAGTTAAAGCCCTAACTAACCTTATTATATACTATGTGAACGGATTATCACATACGTCGATTTGGCACTGCAGTCGATGGATTAGGAGGTGCTTTGTTAAGATCAACTATTTTGTAACTGCTGAAACAGATACAAATAATAGTAGAGTGCCAATTATAGTTTGCTCGATTCGAGATTTAAACCCGAGAACACTTGTTCGGCGGTCGCAGTTAGAACTACTGGATTTAGGATCATAGATGACTCAACAGTTGCAAGATTGAACACCAGCCAGATCCAACTATCCAAGGACAATAGAAAACCGATGACATTTTCACAAAAATATTTCTGTGATGAAGCAAAATTTTTTGTACCACTTTGGCACTGAGCCTTCTGCAATACTTCTCTTGACTAGATTGCGTGCACGCAGATCCAGTTGGCAGCGTCTGCGCATTTTGTCAGTGTTTACGTTCGCAACGCTGGACAACTGTAAAGTTTGCTAACTGGGTTATTTTAAATGCATTTTAGTCACGGTAATTAACATCATTGCAAACTGTTTATTGTCGTAAAGTTGCACAAGTCTTCTGTAGGTACTGACTAAACGCTGTAATAGCTGGACCGATTGTAACGGGACATTTACTGGTAGGTAGCTTTTGTATAAAGGAGTAACACAGACTATTTATATTTTGGAAAATTGAAACAAAAAAAGTTATGTCTACGCGGACGAAGTCGTCGGCAACAGCTAGTCACAAATAAAACATGCAAAGTGCTTATTTAACCTCATTTTAACACCACAATAAATGAATGTAGTTTAAAGAGGACTGACACGACTGACATCACATGTTTTAAATTGGTGTAAAATAATATTAAGCGTCTGATTTTCCATTTTTCCAATATCTACGGAAGTCACTAAGCAGAAAGGTACCTAACTGATGAAGCCTAACTGTAGGCTTAGATAGGTCCCTACCTATTTTTTTCTCCTGTAATAAGTAATATCTTCTGAGTTATTTCGTTGCGGGAACCAAGAAAGATTTTCATATCCCCGAGACGCGCCGGACTATAGTGTTCCGGTGTTCTCATGGACAACCATGTAGATACAAATCTACTCTAGATCCTGGCTTACAGGAGATGAAGCGGTTTTGGGAGGTTGTGGCGGGATGGTCCCGTTAAAGAAAGGTTCCTACCTAGTTTAGTCGACCTACAAATTGACACAGAACTGTAAACCGTAGAACGTAGACATAGATTATTTAGTAGGTACCTACCTATAGTAGGGAATGAAATAATGACTGCGAATGTCTATTTTACTTTTTAACCTATTCGTTCTTTGTAACTATTTTAGTCATACAGAATTAAGTTTCGTAAAACGGAATGAACAGGGATCGAGAGGTGAATAGAGATAGGAGAGGGTCGTATAGACAGGTAGGTACTATGAATAATTTCCCACATATATTCACTTCTCTTTGAATTCCCCTCTCGATCCCTATTCACCCCGTTTTACCGTTCTTGAAATTAGTAGTACAAATACGTTTATGAGTACGTGCGCAGACGCACGTGTCTTAACACCACAATAAAGATTACTCTTTTAGGGTCAACTGTGAGTCAGGCTAAGAATACCTACCTACAAGAGACTAAGTTAATATGTACCTAAGTAAGTATCTGAGGTGACATACATATACATACGGGTTGGTATTTATGGAAGTACATACAAGTGTCCATGACTGTACTTCTCGCGTCCGGTCATCTACCTAACATTTATCCCACCACGGAAGAAATCAGGAATTAGGAGTAGGAAATAATTAGGATATAATTTTATAACATACCAGATGTGCCTGCGACTTCGTTCGCGTGGAATAGTGATTTACTACGCTTAGGTACCCCGTAGGTGATATCGTGATAATATGTAGCCTATACCTATGTTGACCCGACCTGTTAGTCATAATCATACAAAATTTGAAGTAAATTCATATTGAACTTTTTGAGATCATCCCGGACATACATACATACAAACAGACAGATAAAAAATTTAAACACCATATTTTCGGCTTCAGTATCGATTGTTGATCACGCCCGAAGTAGATATTATTATAAAAATATTAAAATATTCAATTTACAGTTTTGACTTTTCTACGATTTTATTATACCTACATATGTAAATAGATACTATTGCCTAATAATAATAAGAAACAGAGGGACAATATAAGTTCACAACACATTTGAAGAGACCGGACACCGGACAGTAGCCTGTCTTCGAGAATATGCCAAACTCTGTTATGAAGATGAAGCAATAACCCAGCACTGGTCTACCAATACCTATAAATTAGAATCAACTAGGCTATTCTGTAAACTGTCATTTCGAAGTGAGCTCGATCGCATTCTCGCCCGTTATTGATTGAGATTATTCTCACAGCCAATGACATTGCGGACTGCCATCGAGTTCACTTCAATAAACGTAACATAACACAACATCACACCTTTTATCCCCGAAGTGATAGGCAGAGGTGCACACAGAAGTAACACCCACTTTTTACTATTTATGTTATGAGTCCCATGTAATAGGGGGTGAGCTTATTGCCATATACCGGACACATTTCCAGACTCCGTGTTACTATTGAGATTTTTTTTAAACCCAGTAATACTTTGCCCGACCCGGGAATCGAACCCGAGGGCCGAGACCCCTTGCCTGGCAGTCGCACTTGCGACCACTCGGTCAACGAGGCAGTCAATCTTTTGAATTGAAACTTATAGATTACCTTAGCAGTGCCTACGAGGCTCCGATCTACTTAATTTTTGTCGGCGTATGACCCTGAAACTATAATATTATTCTCAACCATGACTTATGTGCAACGTGAGACGCAGAACACTATCAGGTTTATAACATAAACAAAATCCCATACAAATGGATTGGATGTAAATGCATGGAACATAACGTGTCGTACCAAAATACCACGAAGGTCGCGCGCAGTCAACAAACTAGTGAAAACAATGGGAGAACCAAGGAATCGTGAATAAAATATTCTTTAGTTGGAAAATATCAAATAATTTTCCTTTTTTCACTAAATTATATTGAAGTTAGTGTTTGTTGCCTTGAAGTAAAGTGGATGGATATTGTAATCACTTATTTCCATGATTAAGAACTAATTTTTCAGTGCTGAAAAGGGTTTATAACGGTATTGGTATAAAACTACATATCGCCAAAGTTAGTCCGTTTGCAGCGATTGTCGAATACCGGATCAACCAAAATACCTGTGAAGCATTGCTGAGCCTTTTGATTAAGTAGATACCGACAAAGATTTCAGGAATAACATTTAGTGAAAGTAGACGTGCCAAGCTATGGAAAAAGTTTTAAATTAGGTACTTAGATACTATATTTGTATTATAACTTTCGTGAGACATACTAAATAAACTAGTTGAGTTCCTCGTCAAATTATTACGTGAGTAAGCCGAAAACAAAATAGTTTATTAGGTACTTACTCACGATAAGACAAAAGATGGGATTACTCATGTATATTTTTTGGCATGTCCTATGTTATGAAAAGACACCTGGACTCTGGAAGTCTGGACATTAATACAATATTAACAAGGCTATAATAACAAACCAACAAATAGAAACTATTGATCAGATCAAAACAGAAATCATCACCATTGACCTGTCTGTAACATACATATCTATCAAAACCAGATTTGTGGAAATATTCATTGTGGCATAATTTCAAAGATAAACTATTGAATTATTGATGTATGAAGAAAATTCATGTTGGATTTGTAAATAATGCTAAGCGCGTATGTTTGGATGTTGAAACTGCGGCGCGCCGTTCGACGGACCAAATTAGAAGCTGGCAGTCGACCGCTCCAACGAGAGTTACCTACTTTTACTGGTTTTTTAGGACTCTAAAATATAGGTACGCTACTCTTTCGAATTCTCCATGTTCTCCCTTACTGCTTATCCATCCAAAGAAAATACAGGCCACTATAAGAGATTGATTTAGTCCAGCAATAGACGTCTCCCTGCTGTTCATGATGATAATACAAAACTATAAATTATGCAATAAATAAACCTATTTACAATAAAAGATATAAAAGAGAATACTTAGTGGATATCCCAAAAGAAAACCCAATGTCGCATGTTATATACATATACATATATCATATTGTCATCATAATGCATCATAAGACAAGTAACAAAAGTCCTTGACTCTTTAAATGAATGCAACAAAATTGTAAATACCTTTTGCAAGGATCATCAAACGATTTCTACAATAATTGCAATATATGATGCAAATAAATCAATGTATTATTGCTTTGTATTGTGCATAGCTGCATAGATAAGAGTATATCTTTGCAGCTGCAAATTATTCATTGCAATAATGTTTAGGTTACTTGTTCCGTAGTTGTGACGTCACTTCTATCTTATTAGATTCAGGTCACGTACTAAATATGTGAAGGGATAATGCATTGCCATGGCGCAAAGTTCATTGTACTCTTTACCTGATTGTGTTGAAGTAAGAATGGCAGTTGCATCGCAAGTTTACTACAAACTTTGGTAGGTACGTGCATTAACATTAACAAAAGTAAGAAGAATATTCAATGAACATTAAATATGTTTTAAATAGAAAACCGAATTTTGAAATGTTTACAAATATTTTGATGATAACATTTTAACGACTAATTTGGAGTCACTCGTCGAGAGACTGCCTTGTGAGCCACGTGCTCGCAAGCACGACTGCCGGGCAAGGAGTCTCAGATATAATACTCCAGGTCGGGCAAATTATTAGGTACTGGGTTTAAAAAAAACTCAATAGTGGAACGGAGTCCGGAAATGTGCCAGGTGTATGGCTAGGCTATATAGGCTCACCCCCTATTACATGGGACTCACAACATAAATAGTGAACATTGTAAGTACAGTAGCATCAAGTTTGTCCGTAATGTTTACCTCTGCCAGCCTACTTCCTTCGGGGGTAAAAGGCGTGACGTAAGACGTTGTTATGATTTAGAGTCAATTGACCAGCTGCGATTAATTCTTTAATTAATTTCAGGACTGTTCGTGGAAATTTAGAAACCATGGCTACCCTACCCTGGAGCTTTTCTGCGTATTATGCAATGATGTTACAGTACTTATTTTAGTTTGTGAGAAATCTCCGCGCGAGGCAGACAGCGCGCCCCGGATTAAACAAATACGGTCCTTATTTACTCCTAAAATAAGATTAAAAATAGCGTGCAATTTATCAGTGTTCTCATAGTGATAATCTGGTACATATAAGTGGTTTTTCTTTTGATTTCCTTGCGTGGGAGTAGTGGATCGGCGGCCATGTTGTTTTTTTGTACTGTTTTGTTGTGTAGGTTTGGTTCCGGGGTGACACATATTAGTGACAGGCAACTATTAGCGAGTTGCCTATCAGTCACTGAACTAAAAAAATAAGAAAGAATTTTCTTGAATTTTCTTTGTTTGGAGAGCGTATTAATAGGTTTTTGAGATGGAACAATTTCCTTTGTTGACTGTTAATTTAATATTTCCCTATAATTTATGGAGCAAAAGATTATGGTTATAATTTCGCGAAACTTTAAGTACCTAGGTTCTAATGTTTTTGCTAGATATGGGACTTCGTAATAAAACGCAATTCCAAACTCCACAGGTATTTACTCTACCACTCAATGTGGTTTAAAATATACCTATAGCTATTTTTCTCAACTCGGGAAATGAACCCCAAAACCCTTTGCTCGACTAGTCACACTTACAGTCAAAACTTCAAACAATTATACTTAGGGTACCTACCTAATTGATGTTAATATTTACTACCTATAAATATAAGGAAATTCATGAATTTGTCATGTTTACCTTCTTCATCAAAATGTGAAATAATGTGTGCCCCACATACAAACATACAAGTTCGCATACACATCACATACAGACCCCGTAGACCCGAAACAACAATCTGTGTATCACACAAAGAATTGTTCCGTGCAGGAATCGAACCTGCGACAGCCAGTTGACCAACCACCGCGCCATCCGTGCAGTCATTGATCATTGATTATCCACTGACGAAATAATAGCTGTACGTATTTAGTATTTACCTATGAATCGATCTGGCTTTCCCGATTGAACTAGAATCAAAACATAGTGACGTCATAACGGACAACAGACAAACATAATTATTTTACACTAGCTTTTACCCGCGGCTTCGCTCGCGTCAAAAAAGGATAAAAAGTAGCCTATGTGACATACACCAATACACACAGCGCCATCTATACTAATACTTTTGTTTTCCCTCGGGAATATCAAATTTTTCCGGGATAAAAAGTACTCTATTATTTAATCCGGACTTCTAACTTTACGTCTGCAAAAATTCAAAGCAATCGGTTTAGTAGTTACGGCGTGAAAGCGGAACAAACAAATAAACTCACTTTCCGATTTATAATATTAGGAAGGATGACTTTCTTCATTTTTTAAGGGGAAAATCATCAAATGAGAGGGAGTGTCCTGTGTCAGACTCTTACTGACTGAAAACCACCCCGTTCCTACCCATTTACTCCTCCGCGGCGCGGCATCGAGCATCAGCCCTTCTGGGCCCCATCTGTGGTAGTACTGGTCTGAATGGTTCCTTTTTTTTTGTTGACGGGGGAAACCTTCAAAAGGCGCCTAGCTTTTTTGGGGAAAAAAAAGACTAGGGAGTGTGGGATTTTACCTCACTAAAACCTCCCCGGTGGCCACCATCCGCACCTAAAGGAGGCACCGGGTCCTCTTAGTAGACCAACTCCGGAGCCCCCACAGTGCAACGCCTGTTACGGCACCTCCCTATGGAGACCTATAATTATGTCTACTGTATTGACCTATATGCCTCTCTGTGCAGTGCACGGCGGCACGTGACCACTGTGCCGGGTCTGATGGTTCCTACTGTTGCTTTATGGCTGGAATTCATCGATAAACATTGTAATAATTCCATAGAACAATTATTATTGTCAAAAATGAGTCCTAATAGTCGATTTTAGGTTACAATCGGTTATTAAGTTCGTCCATTAAACTGTGACCTCCAATCCTTGATGTTTATATCTTTGTAACGTCCTTTATTTCTTAATTCATAACAAGATGTTTTTGTGTTTGAACTTCATGCCAAGACAGCTGGGCATTCGATTCTCGGGTCGGACAATGAGTTATTGACATAGCAGCTTGCCGTTTATTTTCGTATTTTTCTGTTTTGTTTCATCTTAAGAGAATTATTGAAACTATGCTTTGCGTCAAATAACGTCCGAATTTTACATTTGTATGTAAAAATTGTTAATAATACTTATTTTATCTAAAAGAGGAATTGATTCACATAATAGTTAACTCCCTAGAAAAACATTCAAACCACAGTCCTTGAGAACCCAGATGTCCAGACACGCGCAATCTAGCTCTGGTATGCAGCTTCAACACATGCTAATCCAACAATAAATCTTATAAACAGTAATTAAGACTGAAAGTTGTTAGAAATCGCTTGGCAAGGGAACAAATGATTCATTTACTAGGTACCTACGTACTTAGATTTCTTGAAAGTCATTAACAGAAGGTATTTTATTGCATTAAATGTCTGTAATGTTATTCATTGCGGTCAATTCTTATTGTTACCTAAGGCAGGTATAAAATATATAAAAACAATCTAGATTGCCAGTTATTCCCACGTTTCCTCTTCAAACTGCTAAGCATTTGAGTATAATTTTAGATTATTATCCTTAACGTTGCTAAAAAATAATATGCTAAGGTAATGTTTCAAACGCGGACCGATAGTTTCGGGCGATAACACATTAAACCAACAATCAATTTTGTTTTAGATCTAATTCTGTAACTTACTGATATCTAGCTTTCAGCGTTTCAGAAATGTGTTAGATAGAATTTATTTTATACTAGCTGTTGCCCGCGATTTCGTCCACGTAAAATATGATTCCTGTTTTATCCTTGTGTACCAAAATTTCATCAAAATCCGTTCAGTTGTTTCAGCAAGACGGACAAACATTCAAACCAACAAAGAAACTTTCTCATTTATAATATAAGTGTGATATCGTTGGCAAAAATAGTTTTACGAAAAACCTGTTTTTACTTCACAATAAAAACATGAACGTAATATTATTTCATGTCTTTACTTTTCATATTGTTAGACCATACAAAAGTTTCAGTAAACGCTGTAATTTAAATAAATGTTTTAACATTGAAACTGATAATAATTCTGAAACGTTTCGCGGACCAATTTACTAATGACAAGTGAGACAGAAAAATGCATTATCTTTTCAAAAATGCATTTAACTTGTTAATTAGCTACAGTTTCATGTAAATTTCAAGATTTTTATGTTCTAAAAATAGATATGACGGTAAAAACTAGTGTTCATGTAACCTAAATACATTTTGAATCGATTTGAACACAGTATACTTTTGTACCTATAAATGTTTGAATTTTTTGAGCTCGTTACGGATGACTCAAGGTTGATTCATTTGTTTAAGTATTCAAGATATTTTTAACTAACAAAAAACAAAGTAATTTATTAATTTTCTTAACTAGAAGTGACCTACTTTATGACTGAATTCGAAGAGTTGTTGGTCGTTTTGATTTACAAATTGAGTATGTAGGTAATTCCAGTTTCTTGTACATTTTGTGATGTTTTTACGGCTTGTGCACGAATTGAATGTCATACTTATAGAGCTCCAACTTGTAATCCACAAAATTAATGTTGATTGTTTGACTGCGTCTTTGGCCGATTGGTTACAAGTGAAACTGCCGGGCAAGGGGTCACATGTTCGTTTCCATGATCGGCTACAGTTTCAAAGGGTTTTTAAAAATTCTCAGTAGTAGCACGGAGTCTGGAAATGTGCCCGGTATATGGCAATAGGTTCACACCCTATAACATCATGCCTTTTACCCACGAAGAAGTAGGCTGAGGTGCACATTACAGCACTTAATGCCACTGTACAGCGTAACATCCACTTTTCACTATTTATGTTATGGGTCCCATGTAATAGAGGGTGAGCCTATTGATTGCCATATACTGGGCACAATTCTAGACTCCGTGCTACCACTGAGAATTTTTTTAAAACCCAGTAGTACTTTCTCCGACCCGGGAATCGAACCCGAGACCCCTTGCAACCACTCGGCCAACGAGGCAGGCATTATTCACGAGTTTTATAAAAATGAGTTCTCTATAAAATTTCCTCGAAATATTCGAAGAAAGAAAAGTAAAACGGAAAACAATTAGATAATATGTACAGACAGACACCGTCGTAAACACAAGGCGAGCGGCCAGCAACCATTTTTCACAAAATTATTTTTGTACCATCTTTCGTCATAACCTCTGAACAACGGAAATTGAATCTTAGGTACTTGTCTTAAGAGCTTATTTGTAAGAAAGAACTGTTGTGCAAGGAGAATGGAACCTTATTGCACTTGTTATAAGAGTTTATGTAAGGTTATAACAGAAAGACGGTGGGTAGTATTCCGATCTAACGTCAAAAAGGTTTTTTATGAACCAAATAATTAAGTATATGTATATACAAAGTTTCTTTCGTTTTGATGGATTGATCAATCGTGTATATTTTTGTAGATGTAAAATACCCGTATTGCAGGCATATATCTAGTCTGTTCATTCTAGAACTGATGCCGACACGGAGCCGCGGAGAACGTGGAGGGTTATAGGGTCTCTGGCTCGAAGTGTAGGAGTAGGAACGGGGTGGTTTTTAGTCAGTAAGTGTCTGACACTCCCTCCCGCCTCACATAGGTGGTAGAAGACATTCGTTGACTGTCCCCCCTTAAAAAAGGTCTCTTTTTTCTGCTCTATCTGTAAACATTTGTGTGAAAAAATACTATTCAGAAAATTGGTCATCATCATTAACAGCGCAACCAAAGTTGGATGTCCTACAATTTTACGGGTGACAGAGCCATTCGGCGCGAATGGGTCGGCTCGACCGGAGTGATATCACGGCCTCACAGAAAACCGACGTAAAACAACGCTTGCGTTGTGTTTCGTCGTGTGAGTGAAGTTACGGGAGCTCCAATTACCATATTTTACGCGGACAGAGTCGCAAGCAACAGCTAGTGTACAATAAATATTAGGAGGATGGTCTCTTCTATTACCCGACCTCAAATAGAGTTCTCACATTAAACCAAGAGCTCAATTCAATAAAACAATAAATCAGTCTTCGTTATCTTTCAGTGCAAATACCTCTTTGATGTTTCAAACATCAAAAACTTTTAATCTTATAAAAATAGTGAGCGATACCAGGTTATACCATTAGTACATTAAAGAAGATAGCAGAACATTAATAAATCAGCCTGTATATTGTCCCACTTCTGAACAAAGGCCTCTTCTCATACAGAGAAGGAATGAGCATTGATGACTACGCCTGCCGATAGCGGATTAGTGATTTCAGATTTGAGTTCACAATGAATTCCTTCAGCATAATATTATGATGTCTATGATAAAAACTTGGAAAAAATCTATATAAGTACAAATATATAAAAATGAATTTCCGTTCGTTATAGTATCTTGAGTACTTGTACTAGGGCTTTTTTTTTTTTAAGGGGGGAAAATCATCGAATGACTGATCCCGCCTGGGTGAGGCGGAAGGGAGTGTCAGACTCTTACTGACTAAAAACCACCCCGTTCCTTCTCCTGCACGTCGAGCCGGAGCCCCGGTTACCCGTTAGGTTCTCCGCGACTCCGAATGGGCATCGGCCCTATTGGGCCCCATCTGTGGTGTTCTGATAGCTCTTTGAGGCGCGCGCGGAACGCGACGCGCCGTACGCTCGGGTCTGTTTCTGGTCGGACGGGGAGCCACCCATGCTCGCCGTCCGCAGGCCCGCGCTTACGGTGGCCGGAGATCGTGCCGCGATCCCCGACGTCCGGTGTGTCCTTTGCGATGGCTGGGTTGCGAGGAGGCAGCGCTTCGCTGCCTCACGCGTCCCGCCTCCTCCTTAGCTCCTTAGCTCCTTAGCTCCCGCTCCCTCAAAGAGAGGACTTACCGCTGCGATGGCAGCGAGCCCAACTACTTGTACTAGGTCTAGGATAGGTTTAAAAGGCGAGAAAAAAAATGAGAGACGGTACGAAATTTGTCGAGTCAGCTAGTTTCATGTATTACTTGCCAGGTTTCGATCCCACAATCTCTGGTTTGTGAAATTAAAGAATAGGAAAGTAGGTAGAACATTTCTTTATATTAAATACCTACTTTACTGCAAAGTTACAATAAACATCTGGCATTCTTTATATAGGTATAGAATTTTGTGTTAACGTGAACTCTTAGAAGATTTATTATGAGTGTTTTTAGTTTAAGTTTTCAGTAAGAGCAGGGAGTCTGTAATTGTGTACGGTGATAGGGTCATTAGCGACTACGAGACCTGTGTGAGGTGATGGGATTCACCCCCTAATTGGAATACGTAAAACAGGACTCATAACATCAAAATGAAAAGTGGTTGTTACATTGTTTTGCACCTCCGGTTATACATTCGGAAATGTTAGGTTATGTTTTTTATTTATTCCTTCAGCGGAATTAAAACTAAATATTTTCCCAGTTGTTAGTATAGCATGGATTTCCGTAAATTAATGTAACGCCTGATTTTACGTAACATAATACTCCGAAGGGTAAGCAGAGGTACACGTTACGGCACTTAATGCCACTGTACACACTGTAACACTCACTTTTCACTATTTACGTTGTAAGTCCCATGTAATAGGGGGTGAGCCTATTGCCATATACCGGGCACAATTCAAAACTCTATGCTAGTACTGAATTTTTTTAAAACCCCAGTTATTCTTTGCCCAATCCAGGAATCAAACCCGACACCCCTTACCCGGTTGTCGCACTTGTGACCACTGGGTCAACGAGGCAGTCATGCCTAATTCTATTCTATGTAATACTAGCGACCTGCCCCGGCTTCCGGATGCAATGTGCATGTATTATACATATAAACCTTCCTTAAGAACCTCTCTATATATTAAAGAAAACCATATCAAAATCCGTTGCGTAGTTTTAAAGATCTAAGCATACATAGGGACAGACAGACGACGGATAGCGACTTTGTTTTATAAAATGTAGTGATTATATTTTTTAGTTAAAACTGTCGGTTTTTTGTATAGAAAGTAGGCAAGTTAGTTCTAATTCTTTTTTTTTTCTTATTCAGTCCTAAATATTACAAATTAAATGCGTAATTTACTTAATTGTGTCATTTCGGAACAAAACCTTACTTGTGTTTTTAATTTTAGTGTTTCTATTACAGCTGTTTGTTTTATTAGCAGATTAGATCGGCTGCTGTGCGTTGTCTCGCTGGCTCGATACCCGTGCGAAAAAAATACTTGCGCGATCCACGTGAAAAAGATTGCCTATTTTTTCGATGGAGACGAAGATCTTTGTTTATCAGTTATGTTATTAATACATGGGATTTAAGAGAATTAATGCTATACAAAGATCAAGAGTCTATAAGTTGTACTGAACGAATTTCGAAATTGAAAAACTTAAAAAAAATATTGACCGAAGAGATGAACCTTCAATATTATAATATTATCATAAATCATTTGAATTTGAATATACCTCTAGACAACAAGGAAATATTCATTTATTATCAGTATAGTACTATGCTACAAAAACAACGTAAATTCACAAAACTAGACAAATGTCGTAGCAATGACGTAGCGCACGTAGCCACGCTACGCGTAAGTATTACCTATTTCAGCGCACGCGCCGGTCACCCATCACTCAGTCAGCCGCAGACCGTTGGTACAGACGTATCACCCCCGTGTTTTAAATAAAAATAATTACCGTGTCTAGAAAAAACCTACAATAAATACAAAAGTACAGTCAACATCAAAAACTTATATCTTTTCAGAAACACGTGCAATATAGACAATCGAATAAAAAGTGACAGTGTAGTGCAACGAAAAAAAAACTTTAAAACCTCAAAATGATGACGATCAGCGAAAGTCAGTTTTCTTCAAATAAAATGTCGAGTATCCACAAGATTAACGATAGGATCATCCATAAGGATAGCTTCGATGACACCAAGAGTTCTTCGAGCGTGAACAGCACCCTCATCACGAAGAGGGGGTTCAAGCCCTCCGATATGTACGACCCTCAGAAGAAGGAGTTCCTCACAAACCTCAGTTATAAGTTGTTCCCTGTAAGTTGGGTAAGTGTATCATGTCCTAATTGTGGTTGGCGCTTCTAACACACGCGTAGTGGGGTGGACACAGATATTGAGTAATTGATATTTTATTATCTATTTATACTTATTTATTTTGTTTTGTTAGCGTTGATAATATTATTTGATTTATTATTGAAATTAAAATATAGAAATTAATGGTCTGACAAATATTTTTGACGCTAACTGTACTTTTAGAAGGAAACAAAATTGTGTGATTTATCCTTTTACACGTTCATTCATAAATCTGAAAATGTTTTGTACTTTAGTATAGTAGGTATGTACACAAACCATTACACCGACTATTCTTTATTTACACAGTCGGTTAAACACAAATATTAAGTAGCTAATTTCCTACAGAGACCGGATAACCATAGATGATTAACTAAGTAAATACAGACACGTATGTATAGTTAAAGAGATGATTTTAAACATGTTTTCATTCGAAAGTCGCGATGATAAATACACTGATTCATCATTGACTCAAATACTTCTCAGAATAACTAAGATATAACCTAGATACACTGTAAAACATAAAACCTCTCTATTTCAAGGCTGAAGCACTGAAAGTTTGCTGAAAAATTTATTGGCATATCTTTTTTAATATTTCATGTTGCTAGTTGAGTAGCTATGAAACTTTTGTAGCCATTTGTGTATTTTTGTAATACATTTTGAATGTTTGAAGGTGTTTTTCCACGTTGTGTGTTGGAAATACCTAAATAATAATTTTCCTAAATAATTTTGGGAAAAACACAGTGTGGTATTTCGTTGAAGTTATAGTTTTTCCTTTATATTAGAGTAAGAATAAAATGTTTAGTTTTCAATTACCTGAGACTAGTCAGATATGGATAAACAATTATTATACCTTCTACTTAGGTTGATATTATATTTATATAGATGTAGGTATATGATGTCCAGTCACATGGCAAGAAACACTCTCCACAAACTCAATTACTTTGGGCCGATTCTTCAATGCACAGTTAAATTTTATCATAGGTATAACTTTGAATAGTTATTTGACAATTAATCCTTGAATTAACTGATAATTGAAAAATCAACTCTTTTGTTTATTGAGGGGCCCATTTTTCACTCATCAGTTATTTGACAGTTTTTAGTATGGAAGAATTGTCAAGTATTCAATCTTATTCCACTGTTATGTAATGTAATTTATCTGGCGTTGGAATAGTCCACCCTAAAATGTATAACTTGTAAACTATTATGAATGTAATAATATTAAGTGTCTCCTGTATCTATTATAAGTGGAGGTATTTATTAATTAAGGTGTAAGGAATAATTACACAATTTTGTTTCTGTTACTTTCGTTATTACAAAGTTGATATTATTTACATATATTGTGTTGTATTTATTTATAAGTTTTATTTATTATTTTTATTCTATTATGTAGTTAGATGTACTCACGTCACTAACTTTAAAATTAAACAAAAATAAACATTTCAGGTAATAAATAACTAGACAATAATATTAAAATGAATTAAATTATAATTATTATAATTATAAGTATATGATTTAATTAGATAGTTTTAAACCTTATTTCAAATACTGATCGAAATATATTTAAAGTTTAAATTACATATTTTAACATTACAAAGCCCATGTACTATTGCATGCATGTATGTAGACCTGGCTTAAAGCCAAAAAATTTGAGAACAGTCTATTGTTGCACTGGAAACTACAGTAAAGATAAAAAATAATTTTAAAAAGCGAGTTCAGTTTGCCAAAACTGTGGGTCAATGACCTGGGACAGGGTTAGTTCAAACTAGAGGTTCAATTACGCCATGTGAGTGAACTTTCAATTCTGGCAATACTAAATACTTAAAGAAAAATCTAATATTTTTAAAAATCTTCGCACACGCAAAACGGAATAGTAATTGTATTATTTTCCCCCTCAAAAAAGAAGGTAAAGGATAGACAAATATGCGTCAGTTACAATAAACAAGGGGCTATAATATTGAATGAGTAATGGTATGTAAAACAACTGAAAATCACTATAATAATGTGACTACAGTATTATAGTTAAAAGTTAAAACAAAAATAAAAAAAATACGTAAACATATAAAATTAAAATGAAGTGGAGTTTTGTGATAACATCGCAGTTGCTTGCATACCTACTTGCAATTTGTATTGCAATGACATACCTACTTACAAATAAAATATTTACCTCCTTCTAATAAACTCCTCTGTTATACAGCTAAGTAATTTCTGAGAAAAAAATTCATAAACAATTTAAAAATAATTTTCTGTTTTTTTAATTTTTTTTTCTTCCTCTTCCTTTTAATTTTTTTTTTTAACTTTTTTTCGAATAGATAGCAAAAGCAGTGCCTCACTAGAATTTTCTCCTGTGTCGGGTCGGGTACGTTTACAAACATACAAGTTCACATACACATGACACTTAAACTCGAAACAACAATTTTTGGATCACACAAAGAGTTGTTCCTTGCGGGAATCGAACTCGCTCCACGTTGCGCTGCAGTCGGTTGCCCAGCCACCTCACCAACCGTACATTCTACATAAGATTTATTCAGTGAAAGATTGCACAATATATTTTGCTAAGTAGGTATTTTATTGCATTACTTGTTCTTGCTTGAGATCTAGTAATTACATGGATATCATTTAAAATAGATTAGTAATTTCAAGGAAAAGAATAACAAACAGAGTTACTTTCACATTTATGAACACAAGTTTTAATATTCAAAACCCGGAAAATGAACGAAAATCTTTTCACAATTTGTGTATACATAAAGTTTCGAAACTGCTGCAAATATAACACGCGTCTGCAGACGGACAGACCAACCGATTAACCTATATTGTAGTGTAGCTTTTTTGTTACTAAATATAACTGGTTGGAGGAATCGCGGCTGGCAACAGATTAGTTCCAGTTTTAATTATTTAATGTATCATCGTACGTATGCTTGGTTTTTGAAATATTCTTCATAATAGCACGAAGTCTAGATATGAGCCTGGCATATCGTTATTGGTTTGGAGGACCCGGTGCGGCTTAACTAAGGGAGTATCTGATCACCTGATGGTAAGCAATCGGCGTCGCCCATGGACACGTGAAACACCAGAGGCGTTACAAGTGCGTTACCGCTTACCGGCCTTTTGGGGATTACGAATTTGAGGATTGTTAGGGATTTAGGGATTGTTGAGATTGAGAGAGGGCGAGAGGGTAATTGGGCCTCCGGTAACCTCACACGACGAAATACAACGCAAGCGTTGTTTCACGTCGGTTTTCGGTGAAGGCCGTGGTATCACTCCGGTGGAGCCGGCCTATTCGTGCCATATATTATGTTAATATGTTATTTCCATAACATAACTAGTGAATAGGTAGTGAGTGTTACATTTCATATTTTTACCTCTGTCTATACCTTCGAAGATTAAAATATGTGTCGTTATTTGTTAAATGTAAGTTATATTGTTGCCCCACGTGACAAGATGATGGAAACAGTTAGCTTTGGAAGAAATTTTTGTTGAATATATATGTGATTACGACCGTCCTATGTCTGGTTGACCAAAAGTATGTTAATAATAGATATGACCATTATTTACTTACGATCAACTAATATCAAAACAAACAAAACATTCGATAATCCCCATTCGGCGTTAAAAACATATTTTCATAGATTTCTCCAAAAAATACTTATGATTAATGTTATCATAGTTCTAATTCTTCTACAAAATCTATAGATTATGACGAATTGTATCTATTCTAATAAATTCTAAACAACAATAATATATTTATCTAAATACGTACGTAATCTAAATGAATATTACATGTATTGTGTGAAAACCAACATTATCTTCTCAATCAGTACTTCATCAATTCCTGAAAGAAATAAATAATTCACGGAAATAAACCGATTTCATTTCATTTACAGAGTAATCAAGTTTCATAATAAAGATCTAGTAATCTTTCTACTAGAACATTACTCAAAATTAATTAATCATTGTTTACTTATATTAATCATTGTTGGTAAATAACTTATCTGGTATTATTTTATTTATTCGAGCAACTGATATCGTTTTACTATTTCTTAGTTTACCGACCCTTAATCCTATGATATTATTGATTAGAAATGATCTGGTAGTTTTCAACATTAGCACTTGTTTAGTATAAGTATAGTATTAAGACATAAGCAATGGGGATGACGACAGGGTATGAAAATTAAAAATCTAATTACTCCGTCAGTTAGGTTATGAAAAACTATTAGACACGTATTTTTTTATTTTGTCGTATAATAAAACAATACTTGGATAAAACGAATCAAAGTTTAGGAGTGGGGGCTAAAACGTCATTCCTTAGTATAAAATGTACTGAGAAGTGACGTCACGCGACATTTCAAATCAACATATCTTCGAAACTATTCGTTTCCGTAAGAAAATAAAAAATACGTGTTTAATGTTTTTAAATAATCTACAAGACGGACATTAAAATAAAAATTAGTCGTCTACCCTATTATTTAATAGGTACCTCGTCTGTTTCTTTATTTACTTAACACTGGTTACAATTCCAGACTTAGTGATTAGTACATAGTGAGTTACTGAATATATAAATATAGTATTTACACAATAAAAATATCTAAATGCTTTCTTTACCCGATTTGAACATGAAATCTGAAATCGTTTTTCTAATATGTAGACTGAAATGCTGTTAAAACAATTTGAACTCTATAGGTAGATAGGTACTACACTTTTTAATTCGTATTAAAATAAACAATATAAAAGGTAATCTCTATTAAAATGGATGCCAAAATATGACCGCGTATAATAGTTGAAGGTTTGGGAATACGCACACTATACGTGTGCACCTTCAGTAAGGCCAAACTTGTCTAAAATAAACATAAACCACTTGACCTGGTCTCACTCGAACAACGACCTTATAGGCATAATTTTAGAATTCATTATAGAAGTAAACGGAATACTATAGATATCTATAATGAAGTAATTTCTCAATAAGATTGAAGATAAGTTCTGATCGTCTGATGAAGGTGTCAGTTAATTCTACGTCTTTTCGTTCTTGTCCTCTTTCGTTTGTGCAAAGGACTGGTATCCTTCCATCGTATTCCATAACTTCGTTTTTTTTTTGTTGGATATTGCACCTTTCGATCGAAGGATTTCCCTTCGGAGATTAAGGTTATCTTTGTTTTCTGAAGAATAAGTACCACTTCGGAGTTTTCAAGTCTCAAGTAAATAACTCGCTTAGGTGCTCTATTCTATATCATCAACCGCATCATAGCAAATAATATATGTATGTTTATTTTTGTTGAAAAGATTCTTGTTTTTCTTCCAAGTCTAAATATCTGAAATTCTAGACTTCGTTTGGCTGCGATAGCTAATACTGCAGCAGATATTTTAAAATCAAAAGTGAAAAACACAATAATAAACTTCAGACAAATGAAGGATAGAAACAACTGCAAATAGCCGTGATCCGAATTTGTGCGAGTCGGGCATCGAACTCGTGTCACTCTGCACCTCTGGTCTTGGCCTCTGCGTTATTTAGGGCCCATTTACACATCACCGGCGCACGCGCAACACTGTGAAGAGAGTGATAATATGAGTTTAGTGTAAAAGGACAGTTTATTGGTATCTGGTTTGGGTTAACGAGGAATTTAGGACTTCAAAGACCAAAGAGTTTCGTTCAGACGTTCGCCAATAACTTGTTTCCGATGAGACAGACTTGCGTATGCGCATGAAGGAAGTTAAACTCAATAATAAAACCTATGTCGCATATTCACATATTACAATGTAGTAGTTTTAAATAATGACAGAAAAAAATAAAAAAATGCTTGATTTTGGAAATATTATGTCGACAGAATAACAAGAATCCGCAACCTGGCTTTCACCGCGTAAATTAGGACATGAACTTTCTATACCAAGGTATGACTAAGTTCTAAGTCTGATAAATCTAGTCAAAACCAGACTGAAAATGAAAGTACTAGTCTTTTATTGTTCACGTAGACCTAGAAAACTAGGATACTAGATATAGTCACGTATCAAAGATCGATTGTGGTCGCTAGTTTCATCATAAGATTCAACTACAGCATGGGGTACCAGTGGCAAAAGCCTATTTCAACACAATGTTTCTGATACGCAGCCTGTTAATTAAATGATAAATCATTTGACGGATAATAGAATTTTTTTATGGAATAGGAGGCAAACGAGCAGCCTGATCCCCCTGATGGTAAGCGATCAGTTCCGCCCATAGACTCCTGAAACACCAGAGGAGTCACAGGTGCGTTGCCGGCCTTTTAAAAAGGAAAACGCTGTGATCTTGAATATTTGAATGCTGCCACCTAGTAAGAGCAGAAACTAAAGGACCTTTTATTGATAAACTTAATAGTTAAAGAACTATGAAATCATCATACAACCAAAGGTTCATAAATAACAAAGAAATACCTATATATCTCTCTCTAAAAGTCTAACTGTGTCCATAAATGTGTCTAGGCCTTAACAGATGGTGTTGCCAAATAAAATAATAATAAGTCATATACAAGTATATAGTGTTTGACATGACATTGTCTTCATATTATTTATTGTGGACGCGTGACATAATAAGACGTGTGTTATAGTGGTCAAAGGGTCTTACGTAATTTTTTTTTGAGTGTGTTAATTGGTGAATTTTAATGAGTTGTTTGTTGTAATAACTTATAGATAACCTAATATTGCAGAATTGAAAGAAAAGGTGATATCAAGCGAATGATTTTCAAGGCATCTCTCATCTATTGCTCCATACTTTTTTATCAAATACTTTGTTAGGTATAGATAAATGAATCCCTTTAAAAGGACTTGATAATATCATTCGTTGAGGTTAAGCGTTTTTTTCTAAAAACAGATCTCTAGATATAAAGTACTTTCCAGTATACCGATAAAACGATAAACTAATCAAGATTTTAACTTGTAATAAGCCCATTGGCCTCGATTCCTTGAAAAAGTCATTCTGTTTAATTTTCATAGCCGTTAGAGTCGCCTGCGCAATTTGGCTAACCGCCAAATCTTACTACGTCAAAATGTCTTTCCAATCGATTTTACACTTTATTACCACAGTTAATAAGTATAAAATTGATTGCAGAAAATAACTCAAACTAAGGTTATGAGTAGAGGACGGTTTTTCTTCATTTTCGATTATTTTTTGAAGCATAAAATTGATTGTCAAATTAAATTAAGTTTAGTGTAGCGTGGAAATTAACGTGACTACTAAAAAAACCTTTATATTACTGAAATATTTCTTTTTATGCACCTATCATATAGGAGATTGTTCTTTACTATCAAAAAAAAAATCATACATCTTGAATTTTTTTATGTTCTCTCTCCCAAGTCGCTGGTACAAATAGAAGTTATTTATTAAGCACATAATAAAGCATATACTTGGCATGAACTACTGTTCTACATTTCTGCCAGCCTACTTACAAATCTTAAGATATTTCTATAAATAATTTCGCTTAAACACAAAGACAATGTAAACTTTACTAGCATTTAGTACAGACAATAGCAAATAAAGCTACTCTATTTCGAAAAAGTTTAATAAAAAGTCTTCTTTATTGCTTTTTAATAAAAACGAAAACTTTATAAAACAATAAAAACTTACTAAAATAAAAACAATTACAGTATAATGTCAAATACTAACAGAGAAGATGAAACGGAATAAATCTATGTTTTCTTAGCAAAAAATAAGCATTTTTCCTTGTAAATTAATATTATAAAACTATGCTAATACAGAACGATGCAGAAATATCCCGGGACACCGAGTTATTGGAGCCCATGGACTGTCTCACTGTAAGACTATCCCAAAATCATAAACAAAACATAGACACATTAGTTTCAAGTGTTACCAGTGTAAATAAAAACCATTCTCACTTTAAAAAACAAAACAAAAAACTAATCATTTTTAGAAAACATTTTTGAGTTTACTTTTATGAGTTTTACTCATTTTTTGTATAAATATACTAACTCATATTTATTAATAAATACTATTAATATTATTCTAATATATTTTGTATCTTGCTTTCGCTTTATCTGTCTGTGTTTACTAACTTTTCTGTTTTATTACTAAACTTTATTCTTAACCATAATGGCAAAATAGTCAGTTATGAAACCTTACATAAAATATACACACATGTAATATACAGCGAGCCCTAGTATACATAAAAAACAAATATTATTACGGGAACCAAGTAAAACAATTAATTTTTACTCTGGTAACCCAGACCATTCAAATACAAGATAACTGCGCAACGTGGCAATACTAAACTACCCACTATTATAAAAACAGGCTCACACAATCAACTCTATTTTAACATGTAATAAGTCACATAATCCCGTATCACGATGTTAGCTAAGAATCACTTGCATTATAATCTTGTTAGAGATGTTCACGAGCACTTACAAAGTCGAGCCAAGAGCCAAATATTTAATAGAACATGTTGTTGAGTAATGAACAACATGCAGACTATGTTACAGCCAAGGACAGTGTAAATATAACATTAACATCATAGCTTTAATTCAACAAAAGTAGGAGAGTGCATATTTTGAATGTAACGAACAATTTTTGACAATTATGTTAAAGTTTCATGTCATAGATGGCGCTTATTACCATTTATAAGGCATCATTCTAGACTCCGTGACTGTTGAGTTTCTAAAATCAAAAAGCCTGAATAAAATCGAAAATAAAAGGAAACTACAAAACTCAAACTTGAACTTGTGAACTTTTTAGCAGTCACAATTTGACAGTCGACATACAATAAAAATGTATGCAAAATCGTTATAAATAAAATACATATTTTATAAACCATGAAAAATAAGAATGACCTTCCATTTTGTTTTCCGTGAACCATTTTATTGCGTTGGCAACATTGAGTGATTGGTACCGCACGTATTACGGTTAAGAATAGACATTCTCGTCATGGCTTTCAGGCTGAAAATTGTAAATTCAAATTGCTGCGTGACGTTATTGCTGTAGTCTTTGTAAGAAAATGTTCAATGACACAGATTCACAACTGTTTTAATTCCTCCATGGAACAGGCAGAGGTGTTCTTTATAGCACCTCTTCTTTTGTTGACGGAGGAAAGTGGAAATCTTTCAAAAGGCGCCTAGCTTTTTGAGCAAATAGACTAGGGACTAGGTGTGAGTGTGGGATTTTTATCCTACTTAAACCTCGTTAGTGGTCACCATTTGCCCTTGCATACACTTTATTGTCAGTTCAACTGCATTAGATTAAGCTGCAGATTCCTGCCCCGTTGGCAAAGTGGTCACAAGTACGACTGCCGGGCAAGGAGTCTCGGGTACGATAAAAACAATCTCAGTAGTAGCTCGGAGTCTGGAAAAGTGCCCGGTGTATGGCAATAAGATCACCCCCTATTACATGGGACTCAGAACATAAATAGTGAAAAGTGGGTGTTACATTTTACAGTGGCAGTGCCATAATATGCGCCTCTGCCTAACCCTGCGGGGATAAAAGGCGTGATGTTATGTAGATTAAGCTCATATAGAACAAGTATCTATATACTTACCTATCCTATCCTTACCTATCTACTATCATATACTCGATTAACACAGCACCAAGACAATGAATGAAAATCTCTGAAAATAAAAATTTCAACAGGAATAAATTCCTACATCGGATGGAGTAACTGACATTTGAGACTCTTTGAGAAAGAAAGATTAAAAAGATTATTTTTCTACGACTACTTTTTCATTTAAACAGATTTTAGATCGACAATATGAAATAATTGACTATTTTGCCCTACAATAACAACTTAATGTTACTAACAAATAAATACTTATTCTTCTTACATTTTGTACCTGGTACCTAATCATGGTACATAGGTACACACAAACATAGCTATTGATTTGTAAATATATATAATTACCTTCTTTTTGCTTTTTACATAAACAGCATTTACGTAAATATAAGCAATGAAACTCTCAGTAAATCACAAAGATACTTGTTCTTCTTTCATGTGTGACTTTTGTAATGCAAATTATTGCTGTACTTTACACTAGGTGTTTCATTACAAAACCTAGATTTTCAGGAAATTTATATCATCAAAGTGACTAAAGGCTGCTTCTACCTCTATAAAACAAAATAATTTGATGTGTAATTTTCATCCCACATAATATTTTGTCATAACTACGCTTCTGTACGTCTTAGTAATTAAATTACTTTATCAGACAAGCCAAGTCTTTGGTTCGAATCCAAACGAGCATAACAATATGTTAATTTTTCTTTTATTTTTTTTTTCACACGAGTCGTAAATTCTGTAGATAATTTAAGGTTTTACGCGATATTACTGCCGTCTATCATTTGATTCTATTACTGTACTCTAAATGTTTATGGAAACGCCAAAAATACACACATTATTTAGCAATTGTATTGAAGCACTGCCACTGTTTTACAAAAACATTTCCATTTGTAAATTTCAGAGCATTTCATTGCATTCAATTATGTCACTTGTTAAAAGTCACATTTTCGTATTTTCCAATCACATTATTGCCATATTATAAAATTACGTAATATTCCAGGAGGACATGGAAAACAAGCCTATTCTACTAGGAGAGAAAGAGGTGGACCTGAACAAGATCTTCACACCAGCGCCTGATGCTGAAGAACACATCATCAAGAAGGACCGCAAGTTTGGTAAGTATTTAAAAAATATGCTTTTACAGTTCTACTCGTTATAAACGTTGCTTGTACCACTACAACTGATTAGAAGTCTGAAATCTGGTAAATTATATAATATATATAATAATAATATATTATCCATTTAAACGCTACGTAATTTCTACGTAAATCTACAGGATTGTAGGTGAGATGTTGCAAAACTATGTAGAATATGTTATTTTCTCATGCGGCATTCACTGTTAAGTATTTTTCATGTTGAGCTTTCTAAGAATGAGTTCTACAATTTCAAAATACAACTATTAGAAATAAACTAACAAGATTGGCTAGGACTAGTAATTAGTATGTCATTCGATCTAATTAATAAAATATAAAGGTCACAGTTATTGTTTATTGCAAGTAATTAGTGTTCTTAGCACCCTAACTGCATATACACTTCCGTCACTTTGAACATAACGCTAAATGATTAATAGGAGATTATATTTTACTGTCTTGAAATCTTTGATGATTTTCTCTCTCAGTGATAAATAGCTCGTCAAATATTGAAATGAGGTTAACTGTTTGAGCTCATATCGTGATCTGTTTCCTCATTCTCCTTTGCTGTTTCTTGTTTAATTTAGTTATGGGATTTACGACTATTCAGTTGACTTATTTTTAAGATGCAACAGGTTTGTCTATTGCTTTGATTTTTTAAGAAATGGTGGTCAAAATGGCTTCTCAACTCTTCTTTAATATCCTGTTAAGTGCCTCTATTTCGTAGACTGTTTTATTAATACCTTCCTACCTTTCTTAGATTTCTACCTAATTCTGAATTCCTTATAACATTTATTGACGTTATTATTGTTTATGGTTCGAGGATAGGACCTCATCATGAAAATCATGACACGTAAACAAGGCACGCATTTGCGCATTTAAAATGTAAGGCCTTTTGTTTAATTTCAGTGACAAATGACTGACTCTTTTCCCCAAAGCGGCCTTTGGAACTCCTTATTAATCATGTTGTGTAAATACCTGTTATAATCACTTTATATGCAAGTGACGAGTTCTTTGCAATTACATGGACAAAATGCAAAAACATATCAATCTTCATTTCTGAAATTATCGCGCACAAACAAATTATTTAACATATTCATATCACTATGAATTTCCATAGAAAACGAGAAACGTCCTTTGCCCAAAGATCCAAGCTATTTCGGGAGCACAACATTTGCATAAAGTAGTTCTATTCTATTGTTCGACATGACGTCTACGACTTTACGCCAACTGTTTTGGTAGCAGTGCACGATTTGCGTCAATTCACGGCTGAGTCAGACGCTTGTCAGACCTTTTCTGATTAGTGTTTTAGTCATTAAAAGCTAGATTTGGCAGTGAGTCCTAGATTTCGAGTGGTTGCAGATGTTTATTTTTATTATTAAATATTGTACGGGTCGGGTCAAGGGTCCATAAAAATTATATTTTAAGTATAAGTCAGCTTGACTTGATTAACTAGATTAGAATACACAACTCATTCTGCAAAAATGGTTGTTAATATTCTCGAAGAATAGACAGAAGCATATTTACAGTACATATATTTTCCATCATTTACGTTGTTTGTCTCTTTATTTGCTAGACTAATAGGCGCTAGGAAAGCAGTTTCCAATAGCACGTCATCAGACGGCGTGCTTATAGGTAGGTTGACAATTTATAACTTGATTAACGAGAAAGGGAAAAATAAAAACGATGAGAAAAACCTGTAGTAAAGTTTGCTAATTGCTATGTTATATGTTGTAGATATTTAACATAAGTGTAATTTTGTTCTTCGATTCCCACAATATGTAGGTATTCAATTCTATTACGATAGTACCCACTGTTGTATGCTGCCCACTCACCTGACAGTTTCTATTCTTAGACAGATAGTAGTGACCTATTCTAGTGCCTATTCTTAGGTCGAATAATCAACGTATAAGTAACGCCATCTATTAAAGTAAAATGACAACGTATTTAAGACTATTTGGGGAACTGAGCAATATTAATATTCTTGATTAATACTTATTACTGTTGTATATGACTTCAAACTGTTTTGGCGTAGTTGATTCAACCAGATAATTAAGGATCGTGTTTTAGAAACATTAATAGATAAAACTGATTGTACATAATATGAATTCATGATTATTTTGGAACAGAAGAAATAAGTTTTTAAAAATATTCAAAATGTACACATTAAAAACTTAACGCAACCAGTGCCTGCAATGGTTCGATCAATATAAGGATCTTTATCGATAGATGGTGCTAAACTAAAATTTCCATATTTCAGAGAAAACATTCGCATCATCAGCATTCTACGTGCCAGGAGTGCATCCTACAGTAAAAGAGCAGATGGACCTAGCCAGAGCCATCTCCAAGTCCCTGAGCGACTCCAGCAACCACATGAGCAGAGGACAGAGCATGTACGTGAACAGGAAGAAGAGATCGGTCAAGTGGGTGCATGAAGGACGAGGTACGTGTTTTAGGATAATGTATTTATTGTAGCATTGGTTAACATTACATACGTAGATTAGAGTTTTGTTTGATAAGTGAAACAACTTGGTCAGATTTAATCTTTCTCCGACTGTCTACCCAAATTATAAACATTTGGTTAAAATAACAAACTACTCACCGTTTGTGTTTACCACACATCTGATGAAGAAAGCAACCAAGAGATCTAGGGCCGTGGATTTATTTACTGCCCCATTAACATAATAATATTTATTTATTTATTTTTATTTATATATGCTTTATTGTACACATTTATGTAGTTTAAAACAAACAATTTAAAAAAAAAATCTTTAAACCCAATTCAAGTAAATATGCGTACAATGGGCGGTCTTATCACACAATGGTGATTTCTTCCAGACAACCTTTGGATGGAAATATTTGTAAGAAACCAGATAAGGGGTAGTTACGTGTACAATAATAATAAAAAAAAAAGACAAAATAAAAAAGCCTACAATACAACCTACAATAGATATAATATACTAGCAACATATAAAAAGAAATACATAAATAATATACAAAAATACAATAAGCTATGTGTGTGTGTTTGTGTATGTGTGTGTGCGTGTGTGTGTGTGTGTGTGTGTATTTGTATGCGTGTGTATGTACAATTAATGAAAGGAGAAACAGAAGCTTATAGTGTGAGAAAGTGCTCCTTCACAAGGTGTTTAAACTGACGCAAAGTCCGGGCACGCCTCACCTCGATAGGCAATTCATTCCACAATCGAGCCGCTTGAACCGTATAAGATTTATCGAAGAAGGAAGAGGAATGTATAGGTATACTTAATTTAAGATTCTCCGACGATCTCAGAGACCTCGAATGTGTGTCACCGAGAAACTGAAAACGCTCTTTTAAGTAAAATGGGGTAGAAGGATTGAAAAGAATATTGTACAGTAAAGAAAGAATATGAGAGTTCCGGCGAAATCGAATAGGAAGCCATTTGAGCTTATTACGGAATTCAGTGACATGATCATATTTACGAAGACCAAATATGAATCTGATGGAAAGATTTTGAAGTCGCTCAAGCTTGTCCAATTGTTCCTGTGACAGATCAAGATAGCTGACATCAGCATAGTCTAGAATAGGCAGAAGAAGGGATTGAGCAAGTGTAATTTTGGTAGCATAGGGCAAGAAATTACGAAACCGTCTGAGGGAACCCGCCGAAGCAAATAACTTGCGACTGACCATCTCCAACTGCTTTTAATAATTCCTATAGGAAAGAACGAGTAAATTATTTATGTCATGAGGTTATTCCAAAACCACATCATGACAATATAGAATATTTACTCGATAAACTCAGTGTTTCATAAAATATGAAATTATAGTAAGCTGCCAGTCAGATATTAACGACAGCAGCTGATATTGACAGTTTGGTCGGTAGCCAGACAGACTCGCGCACATGTCGCGTTATTTATAGGGCACAGAATGTTAATTAATAATACTACAGTGCCTAGTCTTCATCGTTGATGTTTAAAATCTGTGCTTGATATTCAATCTAGAAACATGGTAATTAATAAAGCCTTACATTTGTAAAAAAAATGTGGATAAAAGAGTTGTATAAAACTAATGGGAGCACGATTTTGTAATAAAATTTACTAGCCTAGGGTTTATAGGAAGCTAGAGTTTCAGGAATAGTATATTTATCTACATAAAGAGGGATTTAGGTTTTGGTCTGTTCAGACTTTGTTACATTTAATTATAGCATAAAAATTTCTCTATTTGTCTATTTCAGGTCGAAACACATCGAACGCCTGCTCCACACCGACGCCCGTTGCGAACCACGACACACCGTACCGCCCGCCATCTAGTTTACGCAACCAGAAAACATATCCCAAGTCGGCACTTAAACACTCCAGCAACTTGCCGAAAATGGAGCCGTTCCCGATCTCTCCTCCAACGATCACGGTACAGAATATAGATGTACCTGTCCCATTGGCACCTACTAAGTTAAATGATGTCTATGCTTCACCTAAGAGCCCAAGATTGCCACTAGTTTCGGGACCGAACTTCAACGTAGCGCCGCGCGGCTGGGGCGAGATGAAGGATTACTACCGGCCAGTCGTTCTAGATGGCGTTGGTGCATCAATACAATATACGGATTTTTAAAATTATTTAATTACGTTTTTGTTAAATAATTTTAAGACCAAACTATTTATGGATATGTCACGTTTTTATTTGAAATTTTCTATAAAATGTTAATTTAATCGTTTCTATCTGATGTCTTTGTGGGATCTTATTTAGATTTCTATTCATAACATATTTTACTTAAAAATAAGTGCAGCACAATGACTTTCCATTCTTTTTGTGCAGTGTTTTCAAATATTATAAAATTACGAATAATATTATTTAAACTATTTACGAAATAAGCATTTTAATGATACATCTATGGATTATGACTAGATTTATAGCTGTATTTTAAATGTAGACTATAATATTTTGTATACATACTTACTTAGTCGAGTCCTAGTCATATTTAAGATAATAATTAATGAAATAAGTCTATGTAATACTCAATAGTGCCTTGTAATTTATGAATATCTAACCAAAGATCTGTTGTAGGCAATTAAGTATAAATAGACATATTTAATTACCTTTACAAAGTAAATACTAGGTATTAGTGAGTGTAAAAATAGTTTTAATAATTTTTATACAATATTAATAAATGGTACGAGGATAGTACCTATTTCGTACTTAAAATAATAAATGAAAAAAATATTATTCTTAAAAAAAACTATTTTAAAATAGACTAATGTTGCTAGTCGATAAAAATAACGGTTTTAATATTACGAATACGTTGTTTAAGTTAATGTAATGTAACATTATTTTATGGAAAGTTGTATTTATTTGGTCTGTACAGCATTGTGTACGTGGAGGTCAATAAAGTACGTCGAAAACTTGTGTTGTATTTATTACTTTAGACCTTTAGTGTCTTTAGTTTTATATAGGACGCAGGGTTGGCAACACGAGACCTCTGGTGTTACAGATGTCAAAAGGGACGGTTTTCCATACGGCTTATAAAATAAATAAAGTAACAAGCGAGAATGATTAATAAGCCTTGATAGTTTTTTTTTTATATATTTGTATTTGATCGGCCGACGTTTGACCACTATCTCGCCTGGTGGTAAGCGATGATGCAGCCTACGATGTAACACGTCGTACCATAAGCAACCTATTCACTCGGCCCGTGAAGACTCCATCCCTTCAGGAAATACAGTTTCTTGTTTATTATCGTTTTTTGAACACGCTGGGAAATCACTGAATGTATTTATAACTATGACCTAAAATGCAGCCCTAGGTGACCTATCAATTGTCAATATTTGAACATGGAACGACTGCTAGATTTTGAGTTAGGGTAATCTAAACATAACATACATAACATTAAGCCTTTTATCCCCGAAGGGATAGGCAGAGGTGCATATTACGGTACTTAATGCCACTGTACAATGTAACAGTAACACCCACTTTTCACTATTTATGTGTTGCCATATACCGGGCACAATTGCAGATTCCGTGCTACTACTAGGATTTTTTTAAACCCAGTAATACTTTGCCCGGCCCGGAAATCGAACCCGAGACCATCCGGCAATCGCATTTGCGACCACTCGGCCAACGAGTAAACTAAGGATCTTCATAAAATAAATTAATTGCAATTATTTTCCAACTCTCCTTCCAGGATTGGAAAAAGTGGCAATTTGCTCAACAGCCAACCATTTCTCCATCAGTTGATTACCGAGGCAAGGAAAAATAAAGTCCCTTAGAAAACAATGTAAAGGAAATTGCATATAGATAAACACAGATAACAATACAGATAACGGAGTTTGAGTGAAATTTCATTTCCTTTTTATTGTTCTTCAAGATTTTTGTACTAAGGAATATTATTATTATCTGGTCAAAGAACTAAATAATATATTGTTATTGGTTATCCGATCTATCCGTATCATTATCTATCCATTACGGATATCTCCCAAGCTCGGTAAATTGATCACAAAAAACTATGTTTAGCTACTATATTCTTATTTTTTACCGACTTAAAAAGATGTTTGACTGATTGTTTTTTTTGTTTGTTTATTCGCCGATTACTCCGCCATTTGTGGACCGATTTCCAAAATTCTTGTTTTGTTTGAAAGCTTGTACTCCCGATATTAAAATGATTGTCCTCATAAAATGGTCACAAAATTGTAAAGAGGTTAATATTAGGTATCTATTAAGGTTTTAATAAATAATTTTGGTTAGAACTTATGGCACCGATTTCTAACCTATCAGTGGGTGGGTAACCTACCTATACTAATAGTTATTTATAGCTTTTTAGTTTTTGTTTGTTTTTAGTTTTTTTAAGCTTCTTACACAATCACGTCAAAACAGATGAAGGGATCGGCCAGAAATTTAGAACAGGAGACTATGGTCTGCAATAACACAGGCTACTTTTGATCGCGAGCCAAGCCTCAGGCAAAAGCTAGTATTACTATATTATTAAGCTGACTGCTGAAGTGTGTTTGTTTGACCGCTCTATGGAGAACTATTCATTCGAATTGAATAATTATTTTTCTGTTGGGTTGTCAATATCGAGGACGACTATGCATGTTAAATTGTTAAACATTATGCTACGAGTGGCGGGTGAATCCGTGTAGGAGTAGCTAGGATCTAAGCAATGATTTTACATTTTATAGGGATTAAGGGGTTCCTTAAGGTCGAATTTCGCCTCGGAGAACCTAACGGGTTACCGGGGCTCCGGCTCGAAGTGCATCAGTAGGAACGGGGCTCAACGTTGTGATTTTTAGTCAGTAAGAGTCTGATAATCTCTCCCGCCTCACCCAGGCGGGAGAAGTCATTCAATGATTTTTCCCCCTTAAAAAGGTCGAATTTCGCAAACACCCGCATTAGCGAGCATCTTCGTTTTAAAGGAGCTAGCTATATTGTTCATAGTTTTATAATTATATCCCTTGGGATTTTGGGATATAACTGTATTACGCCTTTATCTATCTCATTGCGACATATACATTTCAAGAACATATACTGAGTTAGACTACTGTTTATTTTCTATACTGTGATGGTACTCCACAAATATTATCGTATGAAAAGTGTGTTCGTAACCAATATTTGCGATATTATGACGCACGAGGAGGGTAAGCAGAACTGTATGGTTTAGAAGAAGAAACAGATTAACTTTACTTTGTTTGTTATTCGGCGAATAGAAGTGCTGAACTTGGTAAGTTGCAATCGGATTAGTTGGAGATTCAGGATTATCAGAGAGTCCCTTTGGCAGTTCTTGCAAGACCCGTAGATGGGGCAAGGGTAACCTATTTTCAAGGGTAGGTAGTAATTTATTTTCTAAATAAATAACTTCACTACATAGTTCAAAACTCAAAAGCATTTATTTCAATTAAACCATAATTTGGTACTTTTGAAACGTCACCAAATATGAAATATATAATAGTCTGTCAGTCTGTCTGTCAGTGAAGCTAGGCGCTCGTTCCAAAATGTCGATTCGAGTGGAGAGGAACGAGCAAGAAACTCCATTCGTTACTCTTTAAAAAAAGTCTGTTTTACATTGCTCTGATACATATTCCAATATTGTACACACATGTGAGAATAATGTAAAGACATAGTATAAAACAAAGCGCTATTCGCCGTCTGTCTGTCCCTATATATGCTTAGATTTTTAAAACTACGAAACGGATTTGATGCAGTTTCTTTTAATAGATAGAGTGATTCTTAAGGAAGGTTTATATGTATAATACATGCATATTGCACCCGTGCGAAGCCGGGGCGGGTCACTCGTAGGTATATAAACAACTCCTATTATTGCAGGTTCACCAAATATAATGTCTACTTAGGTACATGCTGTACAAGTAGAGTCCATGAAGTATTGCTGCAACAGTTCAAGTTACGACACACAACTTGAAGAAGGCTCTCACAATGTTGAGAAACTATACAATCACTTGAACATATCGGTATTAGTTCAAAGAGATGTTTAAACTCAAGGTTTATAACTTTAGTTTGTAATGAACTTGTAGTTAAAATAAAAGATATCTCCAAAACTTGTGTAAGATCATAACTCTCAAATGGCTAGATACATCAATTTTTATGGAATAAGCTTATAACCGAGCATACGGATCACCTGATGGTAAGCAATCGCCATCCGCTCATGGACACCTGGAACACCAAAATTGTTACAAGTGCGTTACCGACCTTTTGAGGATTGTTGAGAATTTGGGGATTGGGGAGATTGGGCCTTCGATAACCTCATTCACAGGACGAAAAACAACGCAAGTGTTGTTTCACGTCGGTTTTCTGCTCGGACAATCAGTCCGGTCGAGCCGGCCCATTCGTGCCGAAGCATGGCTATCCCACACTTAAAATTGGATCATTCTTTCATGTAGTATTCGTTATAAAGAGGATGAAGTGAAGAAGAAATAAATTGATATTCACTAGTACAGTCAGAAAACAGACACAAATCTAGGACAAGCAGCAATTACATATTATTAAACTGTCAAACACCGCGAGGACACCGGTAACCGCAACCTATTGTTCTATAATTGTGTCTATAATGACGGTACTCGACGAGTTAAGCAACAGGTAAATGCTAGATCGAAAGCTGAACTTTAAAGGTTTTAAGGAAAACTCATTTAAATTGTAGATATCTATCTAGTTAGTTAGTTAGAATAACCCTTTGGGAATTCCCTAATCCATGTGAAATTGTGTAAAATCTAAATCTCACTGTTTCCTCATGCGGTCCTATTCTTTGATTTACAGGTAAGAGCAATCTCTCTGTTACATGGAATTAAACCATAATTAATTGGTGAATAGTGTGGCTACTGCTTATACTGAGCATAATTCTAGACTAGTGTGTCTTATGTCTTAGATCGCAGGAAGCAGCTGGATGCAGGTTGCTTCCATACGGCTGATCTGGAAGTTATTGGTGGAGGCCTATGTTCAGCAGTGGACTTCTTGTGGCTGGCGTGATGATGATGATGGTGATGATACATCAAGCAATGGGTAAAAAAATGTGAAAGATTTAGCGTAAAATATCCCTGCTTACCTCTATAATAAGTAGACAGGCCATAAAGATTTTTGTTCTGTCTCTCGTCCATTCCATATTATGAACTCTAGTCACGAACGACTGTCGTCTCTCGAGACTGCACTCCGAATTTATGTAGGTACGACCAATGTTACAATTTATTCGTCACTACGATATCGATAAATAGTAAATAGGACAGTTACCTAAAAGAAGCAACATAACATCACGCCTTTTATCCCGGAAGGGGTAGGTCGAGGTGCACATTATGCCACTATACACCCACTTTTCACTATTTATGTTGTGAGTCCCATGTAATAGGGGGTAAGCCTACTGCCATATACCGGGCACAATTCCAGACTTCGTGCTACTACTGAGACTTTTTTTAAAACCCAGTAATACTTTGCCCGACCCGGGAATCGAACCCGAGACCACTTGCCCGGCAGTCGCACTTACGACCACACGGCCCACGAGGTAGTCCTCATAAAAGAAGCAATTAGTCAGTAATACCATAAAACTATGATAGTTTTTAAAGTAGCACATAATTAAGACATAGCAATTGTATTCAGTATTCAGCATCGCCTATGGAACCGATTCCCAAAGAAATTGTAAGTGCCTTCTTTGCTGGACATTTTATTGACCTTTTAATAAACCAATTAACTCGGCGACACAAAATGTAAAGAATCTTTAGTCTTTAAAAAAGGAGTCTTTAGTCTTCACAGTCTTCATTAGAACTTCATAGAACCACTGCAGTACTCTGTACACTTTTCATAATTCCATTTAAAATTCCAATCAATTATAATTAAACTAACTACGATCAAATAATCGTGTACGGTCAAGAGTTCAGGAACAATAACTTCAATCGATTCGCTATCGATTATTTGACAACAATCGTTCATTTATCGACAATTAGACACACATGCGTCCCATCACTAAGTATTGGATTACAATAGAATACAAGAGTGGACCTTGAATTCTTTTAAACTTTTTTTTATCTGCTGGAATGTTTTGAATGACGTCATCATATGTAATGACGTATGGAGTGCAAAGGGTACAAAAATACAGTCACATGAAAGAAATATTCTTACTTACTATAAACAATTTGCTAAAAATATCGATTAAATATGTGTGGAACTTTTTGAATATAAACAGTCTGATGTCACTATGTTAAAATATTCCCTGAAATCGAGGGCGAAGTCCAACGTACAATCGAATTGTCTGTTTGTTTTTTAAAGTTATAGGTCGTCTTGTTGTATTTTTAATAGATTGCGAATTAATTATTAAACCTCCGATATAATTGTGAAATTCATATCATCACTGACTCAATCATTGCCCATTTCAATGATCAAAAAGCCCATTTAAACTTTATTCATCACAAAGTTCAAAGCGCCCGACTACAGGCCCCTATCGAAGGTTGAAACTAGTCGACTGTCGACTTACCTAGTAAACAGTTTAGGGAATAGGCTGTAAAACATAATTATTTATTCATAATATTATGTTATTCAAGTGTTAGTAGGTAAAACACAGATATATCCGATGAAACTGAAAGAAGTATACAGAGCGGATATGAATGGGGCCGTCGGTAGAGGGCGCCCTAGACGGACTTATAGTGACCAGATTGGCGATACCTATATTAAAGAAGGGCCAAATTAAAAGTACCATTAACCGCTGAGCATGCATGAAAAGATTGATGACTGTTGATGAACCGAAAGAGATATGTAGGAATCGTAGTAATTGGCTTTTCATAGTCTCTGCCTACCCCCATGGGAGACAGACGTAAAGGTATGTACTTATGTATGAAACTGAAAATTACATAAATTTTATTTTATTTGTTATTAATTAATATTTTGTAATTTTTTGTTTATTAGACCCTTGTTGTAGGTTTGTAGGGCGAGTTCATTGCTGTACAAACACCATATTGATATGGAACACAATGTGTACTTTACACTGGGTAGGAAGGGGGTGGTTTTTAGTCAGTAAGAGTCTGACACTCCCTCTCGCCTTACCACCTTGGGTTGGAGAAGTCTTGGAAGGATTGGATGATTTGCCTCCTACAAAAAAATCCCAAGATACAGGCATCATTATTTAGAGAGACGTAATATAACAAAAAGTATAACAATACCTATTTCAGTTATATAAATATCACTTTACCTGCCAGTCACAGGTAAATAGTTACTAATACAAGTACCTACTCATACATAAGTAGCAGCTGTTGATAATGTTTAACTGTTCAAATTATTAAATATACCATATGTATTTCGTTACTTGATTAGCGTTATGAATCAGAGCGTAACTAATTATTGTATCCTTTAATTTTATTTTTACTAGACGTAATTATATTATTACTTTCGTCAGACATCCTGAATTAATTATTATGTGTTTCGGCTTATTCACGTAATTATTTGACGAGGAACTCGACTAGTTTCAAGGCATGCTAGAGGCTCATATTCATGAGCAGCATTTCGCGCCCCGCAACAAGGCGACCATCACACTGCTACGCTCAAGACAGAATTAATTTGTAATTTTCTACATTTTTTGATAGCATGTTAATTGGTAGATAAAGAAATAATAGAACTAAAATAAAAATTGGCGAAAATTAATCGTACGATACATACTGCCTAGGTATAGGTACACATTCAATAAAAAACAAATACATAGTTACTTAATTCAATCGGAGACATTCTAACGCTGAAATACTCAACTCACTACAAATTATTTATTAAATTACAGAAATTGCACAACATTTAATTACAACTTAAAATTGGGTAGCCTTACAGTATTCGGGCGAAAATATTACTTAGAATGTCTCCGATAGTTGTTACCTGCCTTAATTAATTACCATCTTCATCAAATCAGCCACCACAAGACGTTTACTGTCGAACACAGGCCTTCTTCTCTAATGACTTTCTTTCAGGAAGAAATCCCTAACACTGGTTATTAGCAGTCTAAATAAGAAATCTGCAACCATACCTACTGCAAACATGTGGTCTGTTGTGCCACAGCATGGCGGCCGTGCGACAATCGCTCGGCAGTACACGCCGCGCCTCCGTCGAAAGCACATGTGTTTAAAAAAAAAACAACTGACAGTTCCATAAACAATACGATATTTTTTAAAGTGTTCATGTTAAATTAAAGTTTTTTTTTTAAAGGTAAGTTCATGTTAATTTTTAGTCTATAGTATTTTATTTTTAAGAGATATGTTTTAAGTTTTAAATTGTTATGTATCAGCTGTTAGGTATGTAGCAGTTAGTAACCAACTTGAGTTCAAAACTGAAGTGGAATTTACAGTTTAAACGATTTATATAGACGTTAGATATAGGTACCTACTTACATACAAAATTTTAGATTAATATAATTAGAAGTTTAAGTGTCTAAGTAGTAAAATAGTATTTTAGTCTGTAGACTAAAAACCTGATGTTTAATAAAACATTTTGAAATGAGTAATTCAAGTTAATTTAAATTTTTAATACGTACATTTAATTTTATTGTCTACGCTGCATATAATTACATTTATTTTGCACACAAAGTATATTATACTGCTTGCTTTGTTACTAGATCGTAAAGATGAAGCGAGATATTGAGCAAGAGTTTCAGGTTCAATTTAATATAACATAACATCACGCCTTTAACTCGTCGAGTACCGTCATTATAGACACAATTATAGAACAATAGGTTGCGGTCACCGGTGACCGCTCGGTGTTTGACAGTTTAAGGCATAGGCAGAGGTGCACATTACGGCACTTAATGCCACTGTACAATGTAACACCCACTTTTCACTATTTATGTTGAGTCCCATGTAATACCGAGCCTATTGCCATATACCGGGCACAATTCCAGGCTCCGTGATACTACTGAGATTTTTTTTAAAACCCATTATTACTTAGCCCGACTTGGGAATCGAACCCGAGACCCCTTGTCCGGCAGTCGTATTATCTTTACTGAAATAGGTACCTAACTAATTTTAATCTTTCCTGTTAAACTACTGTACATATCATCCCTCTAACACTCATCCTCTTCCTGTCCAATCCCTAGACCTTCAACAGCAAGTAGTAAGCTTAAGAAGTTTGAATATAGACACTGTTCTAAATTTTGAAAGCCAATAATATTATACCCGAGCCGGCTGTCGAACCCGAGGCCCCGTTAATCACAATCGTGAACACAATAGAATAACTAATAACACAGTTATGTAAAACAGGATAAATGTTATTGTTATGTATACATACAAGTGTCGGGTATTTCTACAACATTATTCTTTAATAGTTAAATATATTACTTAACTTATAAGTTTATTATGACTTTTTTATGGTATAAGCCGGTAAACGATCAGAGGTATTCCCTGGTCGTAAACAATCGGCGTCGCCCAAGGACACCTAAAATATTAGAGGTAGAGGCGTTACAAGTGCGTTACCGGCCCTTTGGGGATTCAGGGATTAGGGAGATTGACGAGGGCGGGTAATTGGAGCTGCGGTATCCTCACTCACACGACGAAACACAACGCAAGCGTTGTTTGACGTCAGTTTTCTGTGAGGCCGTGGTATCACTCCGGTCGAGCCGGCCCATTCGTGCCGAGGCACGTGTTAAAGAAAAATAAAGATAAGCCAAATCCTGAAAATTTAATACAAACTACCTACCTCGATATTTTCTAGCGTTTCGAATTTTTGTTTCTATAATTTGTACTTTTCAGTGCGGTTTCATCGCTTCGATGTCATTTTAATAGATACCTAGTACTTACCTAACTAATACGCCATTACATAAAGTTAAATTTTAACAAAATCCACATAGCATGGTATGAGTCACACCCCTTATCAAAAACATATCCTGAGTCTACTTAAATTATATTTTACACAAGTGAATAAAATAACACAAACATATACTAGAGCAAAAATTCAAATGTCATTTAGATAGGTATTTCAATTTGAGTAAAAATTAATCCTTCTACAAGAACATGAATGACGTCACGAAATTAAACTACCATTTCAGCTATCAATTAACTCGCTACGATACATCTTAATTACAAAGACTGAAGACACTGAAGTATATCATTTCAGAAGTATTAATTACATGAAAATAATTGGCCTATATACTATATAATGTATCAAAGTAAAGCCTCCTGAAATAACATCCTTTGTAAACATTTTATAATTAATCGAGCCGTTAGAGGATAGGACCATTTCTCAGAATACGTAATTAAATGTCCAATGTCTTACATTTTAATTAAAAAACAACAAAGTCCCTTGTTTTTAATTAATTTATCATTAGGTACTTGGAAGATCTCAGACTATGTTCTATTATTATAGAAAGTATTAGTATACTTTTTTTTTTTTTTTTTTATGGCAAAAGCCGGTAAACGAGCAGACGGATCACCTGATGGAAAGCAATCGGCGTCGCCCATGGACACCTGGAACACCAGAGGCGTTACAAGTGCGTTACCGGCTATTTGTGGATTAGGAGTTTGAGGATTGTTGGGGATTCAGGGATTGGGGAGATTGGGGAAGGGGAGGGAAATTGGGCCTCCGGTAACCTCACTCACGCGACGAAACACAATGCAAGCGTTGCTTCACGTCGGTTTTCTGTGAGGCCATGGTATCACTCCGGTCGAGCCGGCCCATTCGTGCCGAAGCATGGCTCTCCCACACTTTATCCCATACTTACAAGTATTTTCAACATTAATTTGAAACTTGGTGTGAAATATTGAGAAAATGTATCTGATATTATGCTTTATATTTATATGATAACTAGCGGACCCGACAGACGTTGTCCTGTATATCCACTTGAATGTATAAACAATAATTCATTCAAATTAGTTGAGCCGTTTAGGATAACTAACCTAGGAGAACCTAACGGGTAACCGGGGCTCCGGCTCGACGTGCAGGAGAAGGAACGGGGTGGTTTTTAGTCAGTAAGAGTCTGACACTCCCTCCTGCCTCACCCAGGCGGGAGCAGTCATTCGATGATTTTCCCCCCTTAAAAAAAAAAAGACACCGACTACAGCGCCATCTGTCGGGTTGTTTTGTGAATCTAAATCATCCAGGGCGCCACTCAAACGCGTACAGAAAAAATAATTTAAATTGGTCAAGCCGTTTAGGAGGAGTTCAATGACATACACAAGTACAGCAGAATTATATATATAAAGATAGGCTTACTTATCCTGTTCCCATACCCACCCCCTTACTTATTATATGGGACTCATAACAAAATTGCGAAAAGAAACCTTTAAGGAAGACTTTAACTTAAATTTTGAAACTAATGATAGTAATACCAAAGAACATAAGTAAAAATACCGAGGCATTACGTACGAACAAACAATAATAATAAAAAATACACAGCCAATAAAACAATGGCCACTCAACCGAATAGAACTTGCATAAACTAAATTAATTAGATTACACATACACATACATACATACATACAATCGTAATCGTACCTATACGTTATCAAATATAATTAATAGATATCACATTTATTTGATTTCCATAGGATTTTGTCCCGTTAGTCTAGCCATTATAGACACAGCTATAATGCTCCAGTTCTTTACTTATTCGCTGAAAGTCCTGAAATCAGAGGCCTAATTCTGTCCCCGCCCAGTCCCCCTAATCCTCAAATCCCGAATCCCCAAAAGGCCGGCAACGCACTTGTCCGCTCATCTGGTGTTACGGGTGTGCATTGGCCTGATTGCTTACCATCAGGTCACCCGCCTGCTCATTTGACGATATATTCCATAAAAAACGTAGTGAACCAATAAATGATAGTAAGTAAATAACTTACAATATCAGGGTATATATATATACAGGATTCGAAACGATAATCTCATTGTTTTTTGTTTTTAGTTTCGGTTATTATTCTAATGTATATATTTTATCATGCTTTAATGATTTTTGTTCATTTCTTTTCTCTTTTAAATCTATTATTTATGTTTTGTTTTTATTTAAGTAACTGTATTTTTTATTTCTATTTTAATGACCCTTTTTTTCGTGTGCCAATGGCCCAATAAATGCATTTTCTTTCTCTTTCATCATTCCCGGTCATAATAATGGTCTATGTGGCCTATTGGAACATATTACTTTCTATCTCCTACCTGTGTTCCCGTACGATAAAAAGTGGCCTACATGTTATTCCAGACTATAATCTACCCCTGTTCCAAATTTCAACCCGATCCTTTCAGCCGTTTAAACGTGATTGAGTAACACATACACACAAACACACGAACTTTGCCATCTATAATATTGGTAAGATTTTAAAATTGTAGACCACCCCGTACACTACACCACAGTGATTTGATTTGATGTTATTGATATCATATGATATGTACCCGAAGGAAATATACGCTCCATTAACTAAAATCGCGGGTTACTGGCGTCAATATACTGAGAAAAGCTCTACTAGTTTCGAACCACAGAGGGGTTCTTCCTCATGAGCAGCGTGCGCGGTCGCGGCGATATCGCGCAGCTCACTGTGACTTGTGACAGTATATTCACGCGAGTAACCCGCGATTTTAGTTAATTTAGTATGTCTCACGATAGTTATTATAAAATACGCTCCATAGACTATAGAACTAAAAACAAACTATTTATACATTACCATACAATAGGTGATTTAAACATGTAAGTAAGCCTTTTTTGCATAAACCGGTAAACGAGCAGACGGATCACCTGATGGTAAGCAATCGGCGTCACCCGTGAACACCTGGAACACCAAGGCGTGCGTTATCGGCCTTTTTGGGAATTGGGAATTTGAAGATTGTGGAGGATTCGGGGATTGGGGAGACTGGGGTGGGAGGTAATTGGGCCTCCGGTAACCTCTCTCACATAACGATTGTTACACGTCAGTTTTCTACTCAGCCGTGGTATCACTCCGGTCGAGCGGGCCCATTCGTGCCGAAGCATGGTACTCCCACACTTAAATGTTTGCCTACCTATGTTTTTGTGCAATTCGAATCCATAACATCGAAATATCTGCTACATACTTACTAGATTTTGAGGTTTTTAAGTCGGAATCTGCATAGATGGAATTTGAAAGAACAATATTATAGCACAAATACATTGCTGATATCTTGTTCTCTTTATTTTATCTCAACGCTTTATCTTGATAATGGTCGTAGCTCATTATTAAAGACTCATAAAAAGCTATTATAATGTCGCAATTACTACA